CAGGCTCTGCTGTGTGATAAGACCATCCCTAATAACCTAGATATGGTAAGTATTCTGCCCATGCCACCACTTTGCTCATACTGTCGAAGTAGTTGGCTCAAACATTTTAAATTGAGATAAATGACACCAACAATATAATTAGAAAGCAATCCATTGATTTCCAGATACTCATTTTGCACCTAGACCACCTCCAGTTCCCTGAGAAAAGCACAAATACCAAGTGGCTGCACACCAAATGAGATGGGAAAAGTTATTCAGATTAATATAGCTGAGTCAAATAAGTTTTTGTGGGGTCTTTTGGGTTTTTTTTGGTTTTGTTTGGGTTTTTTATTTGGTTGGGGGGGGTTGAGTTTGTTTGTTTGTTTGTTTGTTTGTTTTGGTGGCTTTTTGGTGGGTTTCTTTTGTTCGTTTTTTGTTGTTGTTTGGTTTGGGTTGGGGTTTTGTTTTGTTTTTGGTTGCTTGGTTTTTGTTTGTATTTTTTTGTTTGGTTGGGTTTTTTTGTCTTTTTCTTGAACCCCAACCAGTCCCGTGAGTAATCACACAAAGGAACAGGGCAGTCCAAGAAGTCCAGGAACATCTGGACTGTTTCTTTCTTTAACACTGCCAATTTTAAACGTTCAGGGGACTGTGGCTTCCCTGACCCTTCAAAACACTTATAAACAAACCCAAATGAAATAAATATTAATAGGACAATACTCCATTCCATTCTTGCTGCTCCTGTTCCTCACACCTTACTGTTGGTTTCACAACTCTACAAAGTTAAGCAAACCTAGCACTGATGCAACACATTGAACAGGATTCAGGAAAAAAAAAGAAACTAAAGAAATTAGAATTTTCTTCAACTAAATTAATTTCCTCACAGGAAACTATGACTAAGGACAGTTTAGTCCAGAATATTCTTATGAAGAGCTCTATTGTTGAGCCTTCACACCACAACACATACCTACCCTGTTTTCTAAGATTTTAGTCAAATTTGCTTTAGTACATTTGAAACCTTACATGTTTCAATTTTATTTGAAAGTGGTTGTTTCAGCACACACAATAATGACTTCAGGTTGCTGCCCTATACCTCCTTTTGATGGCTTTTATTACTTCAAGTCCAATTCTACAGCAGGCACTGCCTCTCTAGCCTTTCCACAGCAGCTAGCAAGACCAGCACCAGCCCATCAACCTTCTATCAGCAGGCACCACAAGGGCAGTTGCCTCCACACTTGGATTTAAAAGTCAAAATGAAGTTGTAGGGTCCCCAGAGATCATCTCTTTAGAGTGGGAACACCACAAATTCATTAATTCTTGCAGATTGCTTAATGTCTCCTACGTGTTGATGTAATGAAAGTAGTTTGTGTGCCTACTTTACCCTGCAGGCAAACCCACAAAGAGCCATCAAAAGGGTCAGAATACTTTACAACCACAAGCCTTACTTCAGAAAGTACCAGTGAAAATTCATTTCAAATAAATATATTGCTGTGTTCATATGGAAAAATGAAGATAAAAAGGCTTTTAGGCATCCATTTATTTTGGATTCCTTGCATCACATACATCTACTGCCTGGTTTCCAGAAATCTCAGGCCCTTTCAAGTGCACTTGTAATCACAGGCTTTCAGATCTTGTTAACTCACTCCCATCACCCAAATTAGAGGACAGTTTTAGGTCTTGATCAGTGTGGTGGGGCTGTGGCACAGCAAAGGCAACACATGCTGCTCAGCTTGGTGTGACATAGCTCAACATCCACAGCAGTCCTTGCTCTCTGTGCTCATATAGCTGCCTGGAATCTCTGCTGGCAGTGAACACCGAGAGTGGAAGACAGAAATACGGCTGAAACTGAAAACGCCTCTGCTACATAAACAGATGAAATTCATTGCACTACCAGTTTCCAAATGCAGACCTTGGAGAAAATGCCAGCCAGTGGATGGTTAAGAGTTTCAGCATATTGGGCCAGATTCCAAAACCCTCAAGCCAGTTAGTAATTAACAGACATCTAGGTCCTCCACATGAAAGAAGTCTATTGTTAAAACGGTGACACAAATTTTTCCTTTCCTTTTCCTAGCCAGTCTCTGCCTGTGTTTTAAGATTCCCTTAGGACTATAACAGCCTATGATTTTAGAACCTCCACTTCTCAAACAGACAATTTGTCAGACTTTTAGTTGCCAAGAATGCAAACATGCTTACACCAGAGGTAGAACAAAATTCATTTACAGGCATCTCAGAGACCTGCAATCTCCCCTTTCCTTCATTTAATACCTGGGGGAAAAAAAATTATCTGAGAAACCTTCTACCATATCTACAACAGCAAAAGAATTACAAAACATAGTAACAAAACATACTGAGGACCTGTAAATACTCTGAGTCCAATTAGTGAGCAACATACCTACAGGGAATATTAGCCTGTGTCTTCACAGTTAATGATGTGTTGCAGCAAAATTTCTAAGATAAACCAAAGGCTGCCTCACTAAAACCATTTTGCTGGTAAACAATTTGTAAAGTAGGAATGAACTGTGATTTGCAGTGAATTTCCTGTTCTCTGTTCTGTTACCTTACTGAAGATAGACTTGCGAATAACAAGAGGCTACATATAAACCACATGAAACGAATCAATGTAATAGAAAAGTAGATTATATCAGAGTTGCATTTTGAAAGGAAGAAGTGCAGACATTCATCTGTAAGGGAGCAAGTTAAATCACCAAGGATAACAGGGAGAATGTGACAGAGGAGGAGCCGGCAGAAGTATTCAATGGATATGATGACACTTTAAGAAGAGTCAATAAAACAAAGAGCCTAGCCTATCAGAAAAGGACAGAAAGCTCTATCAGAATAAAAAAAAATTAAACAAATTTTTAAAAAAACCCAGCAAAAACCACATTTTCTGAATGCCCATGGCTTTCCAAAGTCTATGGCTTTGACTGCTTTGCTGTTTGCTGGAGCTTGACTTGCGTGTCTCTACCTCACCCAAGTCCATCTGGTCATACAAGGAAAAACCCAAATCCCCACTGCATTCACAGTGAAAAAACCATCCCTGGAGAAGAGAACTAGATTAATTCCTTTGAGACCAGGTTCACCTCCTCCCACTCCAAGGAACTACTTGCACTCTGCCTGTCTATGCAATTGCTCATTTTAACTCTCAACATATGAACAGACCTATGTAACGACAGCTCAATTCAGCGACTCAGCCAACAGCACCATTCTCCAGGACAGTCGGTCCTTTTGCTGTCACCCCATGGGAGAGCTGCCCTCACCTCTGGGTACAGGGAGTCAGTCCAGGTGCAGACTGCAGAGCCCCAGGAAGCTCCCACTGCTGCTGGAGGAGAGCTGCAGGCAGGTTGCTGGGGTGTCAGATCAGCATCGCTGGTGAGCTTCTGCCACCTAACAAGTTTGGGAAGAATTCAGCTTACTGGTTCACCGGCAGAATTTGCTGCTATGTTGCAGAAAGCCTATGTTAGAGTTCCAGGCTAAAAGCCTGGAAGGAAACTCAGGCATGTTTACAAAGTGCCTCATTAATTTTGTCCTAAGTCTTTAATTTAAAGAAAGATGTAGTTATCATTCTTTTTGCTTCAAGTAGCAAGCAAAATCTATTAGTACTTTCTAATATATTCATAAAATTCAAAATTTGTCCAAGGCAGATAGTTATGTTCTTTCAGATTCTTCCAGCATAGGGCTCCATCTTCTCTGCATTTGGCTTATTCCGTATATACAATTGTAAAGTCATAAGTGTTCCCTAGCATTCAGCATTCACAAGCACATTTATTAATAATTCACCAAAGCGAGATTAATCTGCAAGCATCACCTCATAATGCAGAATATTCCAGGAGCAAGAAAAGCTTATGCTTAATTTTAAAATGAACAATTAGATGGGAGAAGTCTTTTTTATAAAACATAATAACCTACTATTTTATTGAGACATTTGCCAGCAATCAGGAGTGCTGAGCCACCCTCTTCCCAGCAATGCTGCTGTGAGTTGTCTCATTCCTGTCTGGGGAGCTGGGCAGCTCTCACGGGCTGAGCTTCAGCCACAGATGGAGGCACGTCTGTGTAAACATTTAAAAGGTTTTATACGAGTACAAAGCAGATGCTGGACATCAAAATCTTCTGGAGGATCTTGGGTCAGATGAGAGCGGCATGTCACGTAAACACAGCATTCCCGTCCCCACAATAATCACGTTTCTACCCCCCGCCACGAGATGGGAAATATCTTCGCAATTACTGAAGCATGTTTATCTCTACAGTTTTAAAGTGGTGGCAAAAAAGAAGCGACAAAAAAAGCACCCTCCCTGCTTTTTAAGAACAGATTATATTTTTGCCCCTGTGAAAAACATCTCTACATAACCACAACACCAACACTAGCAAAGGCAACGCAGCTGCAAATTTTAAAGGGAGATAATAAAACTTTATTTTCGCATTTCCAACAGAAACGGGCAGCCACAATTTAGCGCTCCATACGGCAGCAGCGCAGCCAGCAAGGAAGAAGAGCAGAGGCCACAGCGATGTTACGCAACTCCACGTACCGAAGGCTTTAATTTACGAAACATTAACGAGCAGAGGGCAGCCGGACACCCGCCCGACGCCCCGCTCCCCTCCCGGCCCCAAGATGGCGCCGGCGCCCCCACAGCTCCGCGCACAGCCCGCCCCCTGGCCCGCCCCCTCCAACATGGCGGACGCACCTCCAGTCCCTCGGCCGTGCCCCCGCCCCGCCTGCGCCGCCTCTCCGCCGCCGTGCTGCCCCGCCCCCTCCCGCCCTCCCTGCTTCTCCATTGGTCGTTGCCACCGCCCCTCCTGCCGTCACAACCAATGGGAAGAGAGGGAAGGGCTGTGCACGCGCGAGGCCCCGCCTCATGTGGGGCCGCCCACATCCAGACTCTCGCGCTCCCCGGCGGGGTTGCGCCCCCTGGCGGTCGGCAGCGCGGGTGCAGCGTTGGACGAGGAGGAGAAGGAGGAGGAGAAGGAGGAGAAGAAGGAGAAGAAGAAGAAGGGAAGCAGCAGCAGCTGTAGAAGCAGAAGCTGGCGGGGGCCTGGCCGAGGCCCCGAGGGGTGCGGGAGTGACCTGGGGCCCGAGCCCTGGCCGCAGGCACGCCCCATGCCGGCCTCCCAGCCCCACCGGCACGCCGGCCCCTGCCCGCCGGCCCTCGGCGCGGGCCCTGCGGCCGTGGCGGAGCGCAGCGAGACCCCGACCTGAGCCCGGCTCGGCGCCGCCACAGCGCCGGGGGCAGCTCTCCGAGCAGAGCCCCGGAGGATGGAAGAGAAAAGCAGTAAGCCTTTTAAAAGTTATATATAGAAATATGTATGTATGCATGTTTTGGGCAGCCATTAGTCTTGTAAGAAACATTTTTAGGAGTCAACTGCCTTGACCTATTTTCCCGTTCAACTCAATGAACGAACCAGAATGAATGGCAAGGTTTGGGGTTGATTTCGTTTTTCAGCTACAGCGTAGAAAAGAGGAAGGAGCGAACGTAAATAAGACATGTTTTACACTGTGTGTGTCATTATGGGCTGCCCACGGAGGTGGTGGGGTCACTGTCCCTGCAGGTGTTTAAGGGAAGGCTGGATGTGGCACTCGGTGCCATGGTCCAGTTGGCATCCTGCAGCTCGGTCATGGGTTGGGCTGGATGATCTCAGAGGTCTTTTCCAACCTAATTGATTCCTTGACTCATGGAGATAAAAATTTGGAATTTCAGTGTGGTTGAAGAGTGCTGTCTTACTTAGTATTCTTGCAGTGAAGGGTGTCTTGCATTTGGCAAGAAACAGATTCAGTAATTTATTCACCTAGAAACAACTTTCCCTTTTTTTCCCTAAATAAATTGATTTAGTTATAATACTGCTGTACTGAGCACATCAATTTAGGGAAAAAAAACCCCTATGAGTTAATGGGCAAGGGAGTTGTGGAGGCTCATTTGAATGTGCTAGAAAGTTTGGGTCATCTTGTGACAACTTCGTGCTTGAAGGACAGTAAGAAATGACCTAAGTAAAAAAATTTCCTCACATTGCTTGTTTGAGTGTTCCTCAGCTAGAGCTTGACAAGGCATGGGATGACTGTTTAAAAGGGGAGTGACTATTTCAACACAACATATTCTCACACAGTGCTCCTCCACTGATGCCCACTGTAGTATTTACTAGTATAAATTTTGAAAAGCTGAGTAGGTACAATTATTTTTAATTTCTCACCTGATCTCTTACTCACTTGTCCATTCTGCACCTCTTGCAGTGCTGTGTGACCTCTTTGAAGAGGAGAACCTTACCAGTCCCAGGGAGGAGAGCACTGAAGGTAATATAATTTGGATTTATGGAGGGAAAGAGGAAAGTAATGTATATTTGGCACTGCTTCTGATATGAAAATTACTACTGGAAGACAATAGTTTTGCCTTTTATGGTGTAAGAGGTTTGTAAGCAGCACTACAGGAAACAGGCACCCAGGTTGTTTATCTGGTAGCTGGAGTAAGTAGCCCTGATGTTGGCTGCTTGTTGCTTGCTCTAGCATCATTGCCCTGCACAGTGCCGGGAAAAAAGAGATATGTGGTCACAAGGATTATATAAAGGGAAAAGAAAATCCCTGGAGCCAGATGGCAGTGCACACCCTGATCCCTCAGCTGGAGAGATGGTTCTCAGTGCTGGCAAGGTAGATGTATCTGGTGTCTGTCCATTCCCTGTCCTTCTGGCTGTGGTTGGTGATAGCAGCATTAGCACTGGAGAGATTAGTGGTGTGGACATCTGTCTTTTTTGAAATGAAAATGATACTACAAACAAAAATGCAATCTTTGCTTCTCTGTGCAAAACAAAGCTTTTGCTGCTGGAGTTTTGGAGCACTCCAGCATGTAAACTGGGGAAGCATTTCCAAGGTGAGTGTTTTATTTCCCTATAGCCTACAAATTATTATAGCTGAGGACCCAGAAACAATAAACTGTTGTCACCCATCCTCTGAATGAATCCATCCACAGTGCTATCCAGATTTAGTCAATGTATGGAAATAGCTGAAAACATGTAGTGAATAAGGACAGTAGTTTTAATCTGCAGTGGAGAAACTTTTTACTAGAAGTTCAAAATGCATTTTTTCAATTGAATGTGTTTTAAAATTTTTATTCTAAACACAAATATTAAATATACTTTTTGTTAAATTAAATTTGTGATACTGTCATGAACAGCAAAAGGGTGGGAATGGCACAGGGCAGGTGGTGTCCCTTGGACCAGTAGTGTAGGTTTCCAAAAATTGCTGTAACTTTTTTTGTAATTGGACTTCAGGCTTTCAACATGTTTAAAAAAATTCTGTTAATATAAGAGATCATTAAATTTTGTTGAGAGTTAGTGGCAAATCAAGCAATATCACAAGAGAAAAGTACTTTTATTATTGCCTGTTGATATTAAATGTTATGCCTTTAGCTGCTGGTGACATGAGCAGCAGGGGTTGTGACAAAAGTTTGTTACTTCTTTCACTGCTGTCATGGTGCTTTTGAGAGCAACCACACTGCCATAGCATCACTGGGCTTCAGGCACCCTGGGTGACAGAAGTCATTCTCTGCTAAGTCAAAAAATGAAGGAATATTATTTTTGAGCCTGAAAGGAATGCAGTATTTCTTGACTGCTGGGAAGGTGTTATCCCAGCACCAACAGAGATTTACTTTCTGAAAGTGGAATGTAAAACCTAGTGTGGTGACAGTGGTGACTCCACCTCTAGAAATTGAGTAGAAAAACAGATTAGCTTATGCTGTTGTGCTTGGTCATTGAAGAAGAGCAAAATTAACTGAGAAAGAGCTGGTTCTTTCTTCTGCCATCATCTTTTGACACACTGAAACATATTTCCTTTGCAAGTCCTTGACAAAGATGCACAGCTAAAATTTTTACAAGACCCTTCATGATTGGGCTTAGCACCTCAAAGGTGCATACCTTTGAAAGGGAATAGGTTCTAAACCAGTAGCTTAAAAACATTTCTTTAAACAAAATGTTTATAAATATTTCTCATAGAGGAAGGAGGCATGATATATGGGGTGTGTTAGTTATTTCAACTGATACCCCTTGTTGAACAACATTCATCAAACTGCTTTTATCAGAAAATATTTTGAAAGTTTTTTCCCTGACAAAATATACCAAAACTAACGATGGGACAGGATAGCCAGCCTGTGCAGCTAAGAGAGGTCACAGCTATAAAAAGAAATCCCAGTGTCTTTTGTCAAGTAAAATATTCGCTTCATTCAGTTGAAAATATTCTCCTGTGTCACTTTTGTGAATTTCAGTGATTCATTTTTAGTGGGACTCATTTGCTGGCCTTTGAAGAAAGGCTTCCACAGCTCCTTTTGTGACCTGGTTTAAAAGTTGCTTGAAGGAGCATTGTGCACCATTGGAAGCCACTCCAGTTCATCACTTGACTTCTTGAACACTTGACTTGTTTCACTTTCTTTATTAGGTTTAGGAATAGACTTCTGGAGGTTTAATGAATCCTGCTGTACTGATTGTTTTTTCAGAAGTGACTCCAAATCAAATGACTGGGAGCCTTTGAATAGTCCACTAGGAGTTTGCATGTTTTTAGACTTCTCAGGAGCTGTAAATGGTAATGTGCATTTCAGGTGATGTGAAGACATTTTGGACACTATTGGGAGGTAGAAGAGTGGATGTCATATTTGAGCAGCTGCAAAATGTGCTGTCCTTGCTGAAGGAAAAGATCAAGAATGGAACTGCAACAAACCAAGGTTTGAAATCCTTGTGGTGGTTAAACTGGACTGCAGAGTAGCTGTGGCCTGCATTGTGTAGTCCATGTGATATCTGTCATAATCCATATATCCCTGAATTTTAATAACTTAGCTGTTGGTGGTTGTAAGAACTTTAAAAATGTCTTTTCTTTTTTAAAAAATAAAAGTAATTTCAGGTACAATTGGCTATTTTCTTGTTTTGCTTGTATACTTTTTTAACAATGAATGGCTCTTAAACATGTGGAACTGAAATATTCATTTTTGAGAAGTAATGAAATATCTGCAGTGCTTTGTGTTTCATTTATCATCAGAAGTTTTAGCCTTTCAGGCTGTTGTCAGTGAATTGAGTGGTTTTGGGGTAGGATAATAATCACCTCAGTATTATTTTTTGTCAGAGACTCCAGTATAACATGAAACAATAGTAGAAAAATGTGACACTAATGTATTTCAGATTGTTCCTGATTTTCAAGGAAATAAGCTTCCTCTGTCTACATCAAAATACAGTAAAATCATAAATCTGATAAGATTGGAGCAGTACACAGATTTCTTTTTACTGGTTTATTTAATTGAGTAAAATTGCTTCTTTTTGTTAAGTCACCTATCTAAATGTAATCTATGGCTCTTAATGGGTTTTTTTTGTGCAAGAAAATGTACAGTGGTGTAAGATGCTTTAAAACTAATATAGGCACACACTCTGCATTATATATATAGCACTTCCTCTAAACTGGAAGTGCAATTTTTTGTGTTCTTGAGCTCCCACATCTTGACTGTTACAGCAAAATATCAAAGCAGTGCAGAGATAAAAGTTGAACTTGAATCTCCAGATGATGCAATGAATCTGTGGTGAAGTTCAGCTTGAATTTTTCAGTGCTTTGTTCTGTAAAGGTTTCAAGCTAAAAGATTATGGTGGATTTTGCTGAGAGTTGTCTGCCAGCTTGTAATATTTATTGCATGGGATAAGAGGTTGAGACAGAATAGATCTCTTGCATTCTTCTATCTGAAAGCCATTTCCACCAATTTAGAAGTAGCATTAATTTGGTTTGCCAAGTTCCAGCACTTCCTAGCCTGAAGATGATCAGTCTGATGACCAAGGCAGAGGTTTGCACTAAATTGTCTTGATATATATTGCTGCCACCAGTTTGTGTGTTTGGAGACATTCCAGCAGCTTTCCAAAAGCTGATGGATATTGAGTGCCAATTCACAACAGTTCACAGTGCTGTGAGCTGTAACAATTTTGTAATTCCTAGATGTGTCTGTTCAGGTCTGTGGTGCAGCACGTTTCTAGTAGTATCAGTCTTGAGATGCTCTAGGTGAGCAAGTGAGGAGAAACAAGTGTCTGTGGAGGGTTTAACACTTGTTTTGCCTATTGTCATCACTTAAATCCAACTTAGTATCTGTTTTGGTTTGGTTTTTTTTGCATAGAGTGCTGGCAGGCTTGGGCACTGGTGAATGAAGCTAATCTTGGTGATCTCTTAACCTTGCCAAATGGTATGTGCATTTCCTTTGTGTTTGTCTGGTGTGTGGATTTAATTTGTCTTGTTTTACTCACTAGAAGCTCAGTTCCCTTTTTGAAATCAATAAAATAGATCTGAGAAGGCCATTAGCATTACAATTAAGAAAGCCTAATTATTAATTTCCTCAAGTACTGAACTGTGAACTCTCACCTGGGTTTGTATTTTTGTGGTTTGTGTGTATAATACTTGTACCACAGGAAGAGAATTTGAACTAGTAAGCCCTTATGAACTGAGTTGTCTGTGAACAGTTATCCTGTGCATGGCTCCACTGGCTGTAATAGCTTGGCATCCTTTTATCTCTGACAATGATGGGAGATCTGTAAATGTGTTTAATGTGTGTGTTCTTTCTGGTCACTTTGAAAACCACGTGGAAGGTTTTTCAGTGGGACACTTGCTAACAAGCTTTTTGTTAGCTGTAGTTCATAGCAATGCCTCATTTGTAATGTGTTTTGTTAATTATCTCTTTAGTAACTAAAGTAAATTCAATGATAAATTGAAATCTAGCTTGATGAAGATTTTGCTCGCATTCAATTTTTTTCAGTAAGTGATGAATTGAATGGAGATGATGCACAGGAAACCAAACCCAAACTGCAGCCTCTTCTTCCAGATGACAGTGCTGTAGACACTGTAGAAGCTTCTGACAGGTCAGTGCCTTCTTTCAGTTCCTTATTTGACATATTCTCTACTCCAGTTGAGAGAGCTCTAAAATTTGTATTTCTAAAGTCAGTGTTTTAAACCGAATTTGAATCCTTTGAGTTTTAAAAGTGAAAATGTTTTTAACTTGACCTATGTGGAAAACCTGAGGTTTTGGATAGACTTGTTTAATTTCCCACATGAGAACATTGCAGAATAGGGCATGGTTGTGAATAAAGGTTCATGAGTGTTATCAGGGTTAGGACTTGAGCATCAGTTCTCAAGCTTTCCTTAGTGTGCAGATTGTCAGGTGTGTAACTTAGTCTCTCTGTGTTTAGTATTTAGCCTCAAGTACTGATTTGAAAGATGGGGGCAAATACATTGTGTGGTATTTTCTGGGGTCCCCGTGGCAGGAAGGAAATTATGAATCCGACTCCATGTTCTTAGAAGATTAATTTATTACTTTATGTTACTATGTTATATTAAAGAATACTAAACAAAAACTATACTATAATAGAGGAAGGATACTTACAGAAGGCTTAGCAAGACACTAATGAAAAACCTGTGATTCTCCAGAGTCCCGACATGGCTGGACCGTGATTGGTCATTAAGTAAAAACAATTCACATGTTGGATAAACAATCTCCAAACCACATTCCAAAGCAGCAGAACACTGGAGAAGCAATCAGATAATTATTGTTTTCATTTTTCTCTGAGGCTTCTCGGCTTCCCAGGAGAAGAAGTCACGGTGAAGGGATTTTTCCAGAAAATATGACAATGACAACATTGTTCCTTTTCTTAAAATTTCCTTGCTGTGTTTTAGTGTGTAAGTTCTGGGAAGAAGCTTTTTTTTTTTGTGCAACTGAATATGTCTTTATATGTTGTTAGGACAGTTACACCATATGAAACCTTGGCTCTTCTAGCAATGGGGCTAAAAATATTGAACTGCTAAAAAACTGAACACAACACTGGTTATCTAAGATGTTGCTCTTCCTTCTTTTTTTTTAACTCTTTTACTTCAAGTAGTGAAAAAGAGGACATGGAAAAAACCTGCTCAGGGAGTAAAGAAGCACCAAGCAAAATTCAAGGTTTACCTTTAAAAGTTCAGTATCAGAACCACAAGTGCTCTAGTGCGTGTCTTGCCAACAGAGCAGTGGGTTCCTACAAGGGTGAAAATCCTCTGAAGATCCCCATCCTGTTTGACTTCCAAAGACGCCATGCGAAAGCAGACTGCCTTTCAAAGCCGCTGGATGTGAATTACAAAGCTCCTTGTGGGCGCAGTCTGAGAAGCTTTCGAGATGTGCGGAACTACTTGTTTGAAACAGAGTGCAGTTTCTTGTTTGTTGATCACTTCTCCTTCAACACCTACGTGCTGTTGGGCAGGAACACCATGAATCCCGAGCCCCTGGTGTTTGAGTTCGACATTAGCGACGGAGCCGAGTCTGTGCCCATCTCCTTCTGTAACAGCCTCGACCACGCAAGATTGCCTTATTTCAAGTATCGGAAGTCCTCGTGGCCACGTGGATATTATCTCAACAATCTCTCCAGCCTGTTTGTTGATTCCTGTGACTGCACAGATGGCTGCATTGATAGGTGGGTAGAAACATCTCATCTCGGGCCAGTGACACACGATGCCTCAATAGCAGAGTGGTGGGGTGTGAAGGCACAGTACCAAACAGGACCAGCACTGCTGGAATATCTTTGCCATGCTTTGTGTTGAGTGACACCATTGTGTCTTTCTCTTCTCCAGAGCTTAGGTGCTCCCACTGGTCCACCCTCTGTTGTAGGGAAGGAAGCGATCAACAGGTGGATTATTGTGTTCCTTTTCCTTTCTTTCAAACTGGCAGTGCTTCTTCTCCAGGTGGAACTGACAAGCAGATATCTTGGCTTTGGAAAAAGAGTAGGGACGGGAGTCTTGTGCCAGCAGGGGCAGGGCAGACAGGGAAGGATCCTGCCTGACAATTTCTGCTGCAGATGTTAAATGACATCCTGTAGATGGGGTGAGACAGCCTTGAGGGATCAGATCATTTGGACCTTAGAGGGTTACTGAGGGCAGACGAAGAAACATCCCCGTTTCCAACATCTACATGTCATCCTTCCCCTTGTCTAAACAGAAACTACAAAACTCAGTGGTTACAGAATACATTTGTGGTCTGAGCAGTTCCAATACTCTTGCTCATTGTCATCTTTTTCTAAATCCCAGTAACTGAGCTACAGACACTGTGGAAAGCTGCCACAGTTATCATATGCAAGTTTGGTGGTATTTTTGTCTACTTTCTTGAAGGATGTTTGTCTGATCCCTCTCTGTAGGCATTATTTGGTGTTGCATCCATTCTGTATTATTGACAGCTAGGGCAGTTGCACATGCTGCTGTGCAACATATTGCTCATGACCCAGCAAAAGCTGGAAATCACAGCCTGGTGTAATGTCTGCCAGATTTTGTAATTTAGTTTCAGCTGAGTGGTGAGAAACAGCAAGCACACAGTGTGCCACTTTTTTGCATAAAGTCCCACAAGAATTGAGTTGCTTTTGATGTGCAGTTTTGGAGTTTAGGATTTGCACAATCGCTGTGACTCTGAAGTTGTCATGACATACAATGGTGAAGACAAGCACGGTTGCTTGAATTTTCCACAGTGTAAAATTCTTCACTTCTTGGTGGCTAAGGAGGGAGGAAGATAACCAAGTAGTGGCAAACAGGCTGGGATGCTGTGCCAGAGGAGGTGATTTTTATTTATTAGATCCATTTGACAGTGTCCTGCCTATAATAAGTTTCTGTTGTACTTCAGCTGTTTAAATGTGCCATTTAAGGAGCTTGGCAGAAGAATGGGGTTGGGGTGGAGAGAACATGGTTATTTTAAAGCACAGGTAACCAGCCAAGAGACTAAGGAAAAAGGTGCCTGAAACAGCCTTGTGGAGTAAATGGAGCAGGGAGGGGGAATACAGGTGTATATACAGAAATGTATGTGTGTGTGTATAGTCAAGTGCATTTCAAATTACCTAGATTTGTGATTGATTTATTCTGTTTCAAATCCATTCTGAGATGTTTTACTCTTATTTTTAGGTCCAAATGTGCATGCCTACAGCTAACAGCAAGAGGCTGCAGTAAAATTTCTCTGTCTCCAAGTAGTAAAAGATCCTGTGGGTACCGTTACAAGAGACTGGAGGGACCTGTTCCTAGTGGGTAAGAAAGACCACAGGAGTAAAATAAGAGCACACAAATAAAACAGCAGTTAATAGTCTAAGTGCCACAGGATTAAAATATCTGGAGGTTTTGGATTACTGAAACCTTCTATTTTTGTCACAATTTTAGTGACAGATCAGGATGCTAAAAAATAATTAATGTGACTTGAATAAGAGGGAAAAAAACCTTTTGTATTGCAGATCCTACAGTTTTCACAGCTTAGGTCAAGGTCCAGGAGAAGTGTGAAGAGTGACCAGAATCCTAAAAATGTAGCAGCCAGCTGCTTTTGCCAGACTTGGTTATGGGTGACTCTTCCAAGAATGTCCAAAAGCCATCCAATGATTCAAATGTTGGCCCTTTCTCTTATTCAGCTCCTGTGGATTAATAGGTGGCCTGGAGAAGAAGCTAGTTACTTCAGGTCTCTAGGAGAGGTATTATGCAAGGTAGCTTTCTGCAATAGCCAAAGGCTTGAATCTACAGGCTTGAGGAGCCCCTTTCAGTCCTCTATGTGATGTTAGTTTTTGGCTGACATGCAGAATTAAAGTTGTCAGAGAACCCAGCAACAGATGCAAAAACCCCCACAATTATGAGTCCTTTTGGAAATGGACAGCTACAGTGAAGTCCAGGCATATGTGTTGTTGCTAAAATCAGTTCCAGTATAGAATTAGGTGCTTCTTAGGGATTTCAGTTTTTGTGTGATTTACTCCTATAAAACAAAAATATGGCATTTGTTTTTCTTATGCCAAAATGTATGTAATCTTAAGTATACTAATGCCAAAATCTGGCAGACAGGCTCTTAAAATTAATGAACCAGCAGTCAATAAAATCACAAGCTTCAGAGCATTGCTGCACAACCAGTTTTAGCCAGAGTCTGTATATTTCAGTCCACTGCCTTGTTGATGCTTAGAAAGGGAATTAATACCAGGAACTTTGTTATGCTAATGCATCCATTTATGTTGTGCTTTGTTTTTCTTCCCTTGCCAGGATTTATGAGTGTAGTGTGCTGTGCAGGTGTGACAAGCTGATGTGTCAGAACAGAGTTGTGCAGCATGGCATTCAAGTCAGGCTGCAAGTGTTCAACACGGAGAAGAAGGGCTGGGGTGTCCGCTGTCTGGATGACATCGACAAGGGGACATTTGTTTGTACTTACTCAGGTAGCAGGAGGGGACCTGTGAAGACATGTAGCATAATTCTTCCTCTCCCACCGTGTGTGCCCTGGAGTTTTTTTGAGATCAGGGAAATACAGGGTTGGAAGAGAAGTGTGTCAATGTAATCTTAACTTGCAGTATGATCAATGTGAATAAGAACTTGGAAAAGCTCTGCTATGAGATGGTGACAGACAAACAAATGGAGCAAAAGCTATCTCAGACTGCTGGGTTTTTCCTTCATAAATCTGTGCATCCTATGCCACGGTTAATTTTCCTTCAGTAAAATTCTTAAAATTGTAGAATTGTTTGGGTTGGAAGGGACCTTAAAAGACACCTAGTTGCATTCCTGCCATGGGCAGGGACTTTTCACTAGACCAGGTGGCTCAGGACCCCACCCAGAGTGACCTTGAACACTTCCAGAGATGGGGCTCTCACAGCTTCTCTGGGCAGCTTGTGCCAGTGCCTCCCACCTTCACAGTGAAGAAGTTCTTACTAATATTTAATCTAGATGTGCTCTCCAGTAGTTTAAAGCCATTGTCCTTTGTCTTATTACTACATGCCCTTCTCTAATTCAGTTTGTACTCCAGCCTCTATTGACATCATAGAATTACAGACAACATTCATATTTTGCTTTCCCAAGTAATGCTCTTCTATTTGTTAATGTAAGTTTGACCTGTGCTAGTGAGTGTGACTCAGCAAACAAGCGTTTAAAAAAAAACCAAGAAAACTTTTCTTTTTCTTTCAGGCAGATTAATGAGCAGAGCTGAAGTTTTGGGAGATAGTGAGCAGGAGCTGAAGGAGAAAAGTGCAGTGAATGATAGAGGCCATGGCTTTTCTTCCAAAAAAAGAAAACTTGACCTTGGTCGTTCAGACTCAGTGATTGAACTAGTGCAGACTGACAAAAATTACATTCTTGAGAATCGGGATTCTTTGTCTCAGACTGTGGATAATGAAAATAAATCAACTCTGTAAGTTTATGAAAGTAAGCTTAAGCATAAAAAAACTAATACTCTGCTAATCTAGGAATTCTGTTGTATCACTTAGAGTATGTCATCATATGAGGGTGGTATTTTTTTCTTTCTGAACTTCTTTTTAAATTCTCAATTATTTGTTCTAGTGGGACAGAGTTTTCTCTCTGTATTAATTTTACTTATGTGTACCACTTGGCATTTTCTAGAAATTCAGTTCATCTCTTGGGTATACTTGATCTGTTCAGGGCATTAATGGGAATGCTAATTAGAAAGAATTAATAAAGTATACTTGAAATAAATTGTTTAAAGATACTTGATGACACTGAAGGGTTTGATAATACATCAGCCACCAGCTGTTCTGCCCTTTGCTCCCAGTCTCTAAACCTTTTGTTATTTGTAACATAACCTTTCCTGCCAGAAACCTTAACCTCTCCTGTTAAGAGTCTGACAGCACCTCACTTTTTCAGTGAATATGTTTTCCTAGTTGAAAGCTGTACTGTCAAAACTGTTGAAAGTAATAGCAGGAAAAGGCAAAACTCTGTAGGTGTCCTATTTTGAGATAATCTGATATAATAATAGTAAAGCAGCAGACAATTTGGTTCTCAGCATGACAGCTGGAAAAGAATTTAAAAGCAGCTGCTGATCTCTCAAAAAAGTTTGAGCAACTGCTTTCTTACAAATGCAATAAAGAACCTAACCTAGGTTCTCAATTCTTAAAAACAAAATACTCACAGAACATGGGGTGAGGCCAGACCACAGGCTCTGCTGTAGTTCCTTCTAGAGAAGAGACTGGAACTAGAGACTGTTAGAGAAATGTGTCTTGTGAGAGTTACTTATGGGTCTGTTTGTCCTTTATCATTTCCTTGTGACCTTTCTGTGCAGGGTCCATCAGAAGAACTCAAGTAATGCAGCAGTGAGAAGGCCTGGAACTAGAACACTTGTGTTTCGCAATCACCAGCCAGAAATGGTAATAAGTGGCTTTAAGAGATTCATTTTTCACTGTGTTGAATATGTATCCTAACTTTGACATTTTCATCTTGTATATTTAGATAGTTCTAATGACCTTTCTTCATGAGGTTGGGTCACACTGTGAGCTAGGCTGTCATGCTGGAAGCTGCGTCCCATCCCCTCTCCATTACCAATCCTTCAGCACGTTCCCCCAGACCAGCACTATCTACTGTCATGGTCTTCCCTTCTCCCCCCTTCACTTACACTCCGCAAGAGCCTAAAGTAATCATTCTCCCCCTGCACCCCTTGTGTACAGAGTTAGGGGGTCAGAGTGATAATATTTGTGTGATGTCTCCCCAAAGAATGGCACAGCAGGGAGAGAAGGGAATTCCAGGATGTCTATGCAGTTTTCTCATACAGTAACAGAGTTGGGAGAACTGACCTGAATGTGACTCCTGACCTTTTATGAGTGTGAAATGTTGCCTGCAAACATGTCCAAAGGAGGAAAACTGGTGTAAACTTATGCTGTAGGTTTTACTGGATTCATTGCCCTTAAGAAATGCATGTGGAAGTTTCATGCAAACATTTTGCAGTGCTGTCTATTCTGGGGGTCCCATAACTAATTGCCTTTTTGTGATGGGAGAGGAGAAATTATGACCCATCTGGTCATTCATTGAAACTGTAAAAAGCATGTTTGGGATTTGGCTAAGGAACTTAAAATTCTGGTGAAATTATTGGGACTTAAGCACTTACTTATATGTCTTAATTGCTGGGGAACTCTTTCCTGGTTTTCTGAAGGAGAATTTGAAATTAAGATAAATGTTGCGTTGCAGTAAATGTATTAACTTCTCAAATTCAGCCACAGCTATGCATTGCAATAGCTTTGAAACTTCAGCCTTGGAGTTCTAAAAGCCACTTGCTATGCTCTTTTGGCCCAGAGTTGCATGCAGCACATCACAGCCTTTTCATTTGATACACAGGTGCACAGTACCAGCTCGGATGAAGATGATAGTTCTCAGATTCATCAGCCAAGCAAAACAAAACTAACCAGTGGAACAAAGAAAGGAAAAGAAAGTAGGTTTCCAGAGCTCTATGTACTGCATGCTTGGTACAGTTATGTCCCATCTGGGGATAGACTTTAATGTAGACAGTGTGGGCAGGCCACTTCTTAGAGTAGAGCAATGCTGTCCATAGATGTTGAGACAAGTTGAACTGTCCAGACAGCAGCTTCTCAAATACTGTGCAGTTGTGGGAAAGTCAGCCTTGCAGATCTTGCTGTGTCACACCCAGTACCTGTTCCAGCCAGCAGAAATGGAACAGGATATAACACTGGGGTTGGGAGACGTCAAGCTGGAGAGGCAGTGTGAAATTGATGCTATTTGCACATCCATTTTGCTTCTGTCTTAATTACAGTTTGTGATTCTCTTGGGAATTAAGGTGGAGAGTGAAAAAAAATGCTATGTGGGAAAAGTCAGTCTGGAATGGGATTTGAGAAGAGTGAGACACTAGGTCACTCAGAGGCACCTTGAGCAAGTGCTTTAGGCATCACAGCAGGAAACAGTCATTTGTTGGGAGGATTGATGAGAGACATGGAAAGATTGTGTTATAGATTTGTAGATAGCAAGTAGACTGTCTAGATTCTGGAGGATGTGGGAAAAGTGGGTGGGTGAGAGTTTGGGGCCAAACAAGGGAAAGGCTTTAGCATTAAACTGCTGTTGAGAAATAACATACATGTCCATTGACAGAATGCACCCAGCAGCAGAAGGAAGAGCATCTGATGGACATGGGACAGACTGACTCTGCTGGTGTAGAGACTGCAGGATGTGAAAGGAAGAGTCTGTCACTGCAAGGTGTTGAGTGTGGCAAGCCCAGTGTGCTGGATGACACCTGTGTTGTGAGGCTGTCCAGCAATGCACCCCTAAAAGCTGACTGCAGAGAAAATAGCAGGCAGCCAAAACAAGATGCACTTTGTGAGGAGTCTGAGGGTGATGGGATGCCTCCCAAGAACAGTAATGAAGAAAATATTTATGTACTGGATGCCACAAAAGAAGGAAATGTGGGTCGTTTTCTAAATGTAAGTACTAAATTGCATGGGTTCTTTTCATTGCCTCTGCAAATACATCATTTACTTATTTAAGCTTAGACTAGAAGGTTTTTGCACATAAACAGTATGGGTGGTGGGTGCATGACAAGAGAGGCACATGTGGTGCTCCCTACCATCACAGGTGGCAGGACAATAGGTTGGGTCACACTGGCTGTTCAATTGCCAAGTACCTTCAACTAAGACAAATACTTCGTAGACTCATCTTGCAGGTATGCTGCAAATAATTTATTTCTTCATTGGCATGAACATGCCTTCCTTACACAAATAATTTATTTCTCTTCATTGGCATGAATATGTCTTACAGCAAAACTCTTGCATATGTTTAAACTGTTCTTCTTTGCAGAGGTAATATGGTGTTAATATTAGTAGTGCATCTTGCAGAAGCCTTCCTTCTGTTCTCAGGAGCATACACATGTTCTTACCTGTACCTGAGTGACCTTTCACATCCTGTACTCGGCCAGCACACAGTCATGCAATCCACTGCTTGCTCCCTAGCACTGCTGCCCTGGCAATGGCATTGGGTGATAAACTTTCCATGTGGGCTCAAGAAGGGAAGGAAGAAACTGCCTTTACTGGTGAAAGATATCTGATACAAAGTGATATCTGACGTCATTTTTCAGCCAACGATGTGGTGTTGGGCTGTTACTAATTCAGATTTTCTGTTTTACAGCACAGCTGCTGCCCAAATCTCTTTGCACAAAGTGTGTTTGTAGAAACTCACAACAGAAGTTTTCCATGGGTTGCATTCTTCACAAACAGGTGAATTTCTGGAAGTTTAATGTTGTTCATTTAAGGCACTAGGAGGAAAAAAAAAAAAACACTGCTCACTTATTGGAGTATAATTATACTGAGGGGTGGGGCAGATGCTTAGATCATAAAAGCATTAAACTGTCTTAGAGGTGACTTCTTATTGTGCACTAAAGGCAGAAGAAATAGTCATTGGTTATCATTAATGAGTTTTGCTTCAGTTTTGCACTGAAATGTAAAGTAGAGAAGGTTAATTTTTATGTGTCCACTTCAGTGATAATCTTCTTCAGTGCAGGAATAGGTTTTACTCAGCATGGTCATTCAGAAGGCCAAGATCCACTCATCCTACTGTTGTGTCTCAAGGAATGGCCACCAGATCTGCCTCACATAGGGCAGGATTGAGCCCCACAGGATATTAAGGTTGAGACACTTTGTGGGCCAAAAAGGCTTCAGTCCTTTTCCTCAGAGCTGTCAAGACAAGCAGGACTTTGTGTAGCCCAGCATGTCCTGGGGATATGACAATAGGATACACAGAGGTGAAAATGTGTTCTGAAAGTAAGAGATGCAGATATTTCCTTAGTGTCTAACAGAAAGAGAGGTACAGAGAGCTGGTGCCAGCAAGACACAGTATGGCAGCAGGAGAGGAAAGATGAATTGTATAAATGAAGTTGGCTGACATGCATGTCAGCAGTAGAACTAGGTGAGAACAGAACAGAGAGGGGAGAATTTGTGCCAACAAACCAAATCCATGGAACATTGATCTTCTGTGGAGCTTTGCAGCTCTGCTCCATACTGACACAGATGCTGTGGATTGCACTGGGAGGAACTGTGAGGACAATGTTTTGAAATACATCCAAAACAGGATTTTGTTTTAGCTAGAGTCTTTCTTGCTCAGGCACTTGGTAAAGAAGTGTAGTGAGGACTGAGGCCACTGGAGAGAGATAATAGTGAGAGCAAAGACACTTAGGGAAGAAGGTTGTTGAAGGAGAGTTCCCCTCACTGGCTCTTCCATTTTCTGGACATCACCCTTTTACAACTTTTCTAAATTAAGGACTTCATCTGGATCATTGAGCTTAATTGTGTGCCTTCCATGGACTTGCCCAGTCACCTGGGCAAGTTTTATTTGTTTTACATGCCTGGCCTTTTTATTTGTTTTACATGTCTGGCCTCTAGACCGTCTCAAGTCAGCAAGTGCCAGGCTGCAGTTATGTGCTGTATGAAAAGTCCTCATTATTTGTTCTCAGTCAGCTGCCTAGGAATTCACTGGATGTCCTCTATACCATATCCAGTGAGAAACATCAGAGAATTGCTCTCTTCATCACAATATTCATATTTTCCTAAATTTTCCATCAGTTGTTCCTCAGCATCATAATCTCAGGTATTTAGTTTGGCATTCATTTTGGACAATGAATTTCCTGCCCTAGACATTTCTTCTATTTTACTACCAGAGCAGCTGATTCATGAGGAGCACGTGTTTAATTCTGAGTTTGGGCTTGGTGCACATAGTGCAGTTGCATTAACAGATAGCCTGCCAGACCAAAGATGACAGTCTTCAGCAATATAGCTAAAGATCTCTTCAAACTTCAGTGATGCGCTGTACATAGGAAAAATAACAAAACTGAAAACTATGTTATTCATTTAGATGTATTATTTATGTGAATTTCTTTTTTGTTTGTTTGTTTGTTTTATTTTAAGGGATTTTGGGTTTTTCTTTTGGTGTTTTTTGTTTGGTTCTTGTTTTGGTTTTGGTTTTTTGGTTGGTTGACTTTGGCTTTGTAGTGGTTTTTTTGTTTGATTTTTATTTCCCAGAATTTCCCTCTAGGTTAGAGCACATTCTTTAGAAATAGACTCCAACCCTATTTGTAATTTCCATAGCCAAAGGAGCATGAGTGTGCCAGCGACTCCTTGTCTGCCTTGTTTCCTTCCCATCCCAAGCTGCCTGTGTGATGCTCCCTGCCCCCTACAATTTTGGGGTTTGCATGTGTGTTGTTGGTGACAAATTGTTAGCACAGTACTGTTTCACTTAGTTCAAGCAAATTAACTCTTTTATTCCTTAGACATGTGAAAGCTGGAACCGAACTCACCTGGGATTATGGTTATGAAGCTGGAAGCATGCCAGAGACAGAAATTTCCTGTCACTGTGGAGTTCAGAAGTGCAGGAAAAAAACCTTATAGGGAAAAGCTTTCCTACTGTCAACACATCTCATACCTGCGAATTTATATGCTGGAAGGGATGACTACTCAGCAAACAGCCCTCAAGTCGGTGGTGCTAATTGCATTCAACTAAAATGCCTTTCATCTGATGATTTTTTAAATTTACATTTAAATGTCACTTTTGTAGTTTACAGAAATAGAACTGTTTCTCCTAAGAGCAGGCATCGAGCCTTTCCTGGGTAATTGGTCTTCCTCCTCCCTGGTCCCTCCACAAGCAAAGTTCACAGTGCACTGGAAGAATTCCTCCTCCATGCCATCTGCAGCAGAGACATGACCGATGAGAGCAACAGTTCCTTGGTGTTTTCTGTGCCTCTCCACAGAGAGTTTTGCTGAGTTACCAAAACTCAGGTTTCTGAAATTCATTATGAATGCAAGACTGCTTGTCTGGGCACTAGGAATTGTTCAAATACACCTAAGCCTATTGCACCCAATGGGACAGATTGTCCTGAACAGAGACAGAATTAAACAGAACAGTTCTGCAGAGCTGTGTTTGTGCTACAAAATGAGCTGGACAAGTCCTGCTGCAGCAGGAGAGAAATGACTGGGTTTCGTTGGATTGTTCCCCTCTCCATGTTTGTGACGCACAGAGAAATCCTTGAGAAATCCAGTGTACCTCATCTCAGTGCCATATTGTGTATGGGACAGGTGGGCCACAGAATTGCTTACCACATGGTTTGTTGGTAAGAGAGAAGCAAGCTGCATTGGGAGTGCAGATGCAGGAGGTGGCTCTGAAATGGAGCAAGGGATGGCTGTGCAGGTGTGTGGCTTCTGAATGTGTTGGAGGTGGCACAGGTGAGCCAGGTTTGTTGGTAAGAGAGAAACAAGCTACATTAGGAATGCAGATGCAAGGAGATGGCACAGGTGAGCAGTTTAGATGCTTGAAGAACCACTGCCAAAAGTTTCAAAAAAAGTGGTTTTATTAAAAATGTTGTAAAAGTAAGACTTAAGGAGTTTGATGGCAAAGTTTACTCTGTTACTGCAGAGGATATGATAATGATTTAAAGTTACCAATACAAAATCCAGTGGCACTATAGTACAAGACTGTGTGTCACTTACCAGAAACCTGCAGCTGATCAGGTATGTCTCAGCCTCGAGGAGTAACACTGAGAGCATCCTAGCTCACAGGGAAATCACTGCCATACAGCCAGCTGATTAGCATGAGAGCTAAAAAAAAACTGACTGTCGTTTATGGAATAGGCTTGAAGTAAAATTACCTTTGTTGGAGAAGGTAAACATGAAAGTCTTGTACCTGTACCTTTCTTTGTTCCTTGATAAATGAGTCTTGGAAAAACCACCACCATTCATGTGTTAATTGCATGGTTGGTATCCCAGATTCCAGTCCATATGCCTCAGTGCTCACCATGTCACTCTGCTCCTGTGGGGGTTTTCAGAGAAATGGTTGGAGCAAATGAAGGTCATGGCCTGGTTATGTCCAAGCCTATACTGCGAAATGAAAGATAAGCAGGAGCCAGTTCTCAGCCCTGAGGCCAAGAGGCAGTGGATGTCTAATGCACTCATGGCTTAGGGTTCTGTTTTAATTGGGTTGTATCTGTGCTGTGTAACTGTGGACAAACATGGTATCTGTGGCCCTAAGTGGGTTTTTTTGTTTGTTTTTTTTGTATGCTTCAAGCTTAAAGTCATGGGGTTCTACTGCAATACATGATGCTCTTGGATTTTTCAAGTTTGATCATGCATAAGTTTCAGCCTGTTAAAAGTGGACCTTTCACAGAGATAACAGACCTGTGAACCATTCTGCTTACAGTGAAACCTCAGATCTTGTCTCTCTCAGCTCTGTTTGAGAGTTTGACACATCCAGCTAGCAAACCTCTCCTCAGCTTTGGTCCCTGTCATTGCACTCTGGGTTTGTGTGGGCTTTCACCACCCATCTTCAGGGATAAATGCAGAAGAGCAGAGCTACCCCACTGTTGGTGCAGTACCTCTTCAGAAGGTCAGAGCCACCCACTCTTGCCCTGATCAGCCCCTCTGTCACTGCAGCCCCTGTGTGAGCTGTAGACAGCACTCAGCCCAGTTGCCTTTTGCTTCATTGAAGATCTGAAGGTCTGTACTCAGAGGGAATATGCCTTGGGGGATCATCTTTTCAGCATTAACCAGGGACATGCCAATGTTTATGACAAAACCCACAGGTAACCCAGGAGTGGTATTAGCCTTCTAAACAAATGAAAATGCAGAAAACATCTGTGTCTATGTAAAACATGTTTTTTAAATGCTTCAGGAATATTTTTAAAGCTTCAGGAATGGGGGGTGGAGGAAGGTACATTTTACTGCTGTTGATGACGTATTCCAGATCAGTGGTAGGAATTAATGATACTGGCCTGGTGAGGAAGAGCCCTGTTTCTTAATGCAGGAAAACAGACCTGATGATTTAAAAGAGGCAGCACTTACTTGCTCCATGTGGTCTGCAGCTATGGGAGAGCCTGTTATGAGTGTAGATGTCACAGAAGGCCTGTGTAGGAAACAGGGCTTTTTTGCTAGCTGGGTTTATCAGGTCTGTCTCCTGCCTGGTACTTCTTCATTGTCCTCCTCCAGACCAGAGATTGTAACTATCCATGAGCAAAATCACCTTACAAGGTGTGATTTCTGCCTGCTTCTGTAGTATTGCTAGAACATGTTCTGTTGAGGGGGTCCTGCAAGTATGCAAGTATTTCTGCAGGTAGTGACCACAGGAATGCTCACCTGAGCTCTCTCTACTCTGCTGACTGTTCCTCTGCTTGTCACAGCTCACAGATGAGGATATTTCTGAGCATAGCCACTCATGTCACCCATGCTTTAGCAGACAAGTGTGTAGAAGCACTGAGCACAAGCACTGATGGAAAAACAGATGAAGATACTCCAAATGAAGTACCTGTGGAATGGCACATTTGGGACTTCTCATCAGCCTGTCGGGGGCATCATAAATGAAGAGTGCCTGATGGGAATAAGTTGCATTGAGGTGTGAATCACAGCTCTTACAGTGAGCAAGATGGTCCCTATGGAGGGACAGTAGGGATATGAGGATGTATAGGGGCTCCATGGTAATAAGTATTAGTACCCAAGATAAGCATACAAGTGCAAAGACAGCTGAAGCTTACAGCATAAGTATGAAAGAAACGGGACTGGAGCTTATTAACTTTTTTTTTTTTTTTGCCAAAAAAGCACTGAGCATTAATTTCCAGCTCTTTTACAGAACTATATGGCTTGATAGCACAACAGTTTGAAGGAAGAGCTCACAAGGGTTTTGGACATTTTTTGGAATTCTCCACAGAGAATTTTTCCTGTGTTGAAGAACAGACTTCTGTTAGGAAGATTTTATTAGTTTAAGATTTATGCACCTGTGGGTGCTTGAATCACGTTAACTCATTTGAGTATAATCTAGGTAATAGATCTGGGAATTGGAATTGTGTAGCAGTATTTGGCTAATAGATACAATCTAATTGCAAGCCTGGATGCAGGAGTTGATCTTAGTTCCGATATGCTGCGTGTGGGCAGGTGCAAAGGAGTTTGGGAAACCAACTGGAGTGATGCCAGCAGTGCTGAAAAGCCAAAGCTGGTCTAGCTGGTAAAGGGAACAGATCTTAAAAGCTCCATGTTGTATTTGGTGCAGCCTCATGATGCTTGGGTTTCTGTGGTTGAGATAACCCCCAAGGTATTAGAAAGTCTCTTTTTTCCCAGCCCTGCGGCCAAAGAAGTTGAGATTTGTCCATTCTCCTTTTCAAGGTTGTTTATTTTTTCTTATCTATTACATTCTTTCTCTGACCTGCAGAGATGTGTCCAGCAGGTCGGATTGTGACACAGCAACTGCCCTTGAGGTGCTGTTAACCTTTTAAACTTTTTATACTAAAAACTACGTGTACCTTATACTAAGAACTACGTGTACTTTATACTAAGAATTACGCGTACATTATACTAAGAACTACGTTTACTTTATTTACAATAATTTTCCAGTACCTATCACCTATGTTAGACAGTCCGTCTCTATTCTAAACCAATCAAAAAGTGTCACCATCACAGCAGAAGATGGAGGACAAGAAGAAGAAGAAGAAGGACAGGACATGCCCAGATTCCTCCATCTTGCCTCTTGAACTCCCATTCTAAATCCCCAAAATTCTACTTTTTCACCCTGTGACAAATTAACATTCTACTCAAACTCTTGTGGCTAGTAAATCTTCACACAAAGTTGATAATTTTTTCCATGGGCTAAAATGGAAGGCACAGGTGTTTTTAAGACTCCGTGCCAAGGTCTCTGAGCCCCTTGCCAGGGTCTTGAATCAGCCAGGGCAGCCAGAGGAATGTCCTGGGTTCTGACACCTGATGAGCCAGAATATGCCTCTTAATGTGCCTGATGAGCTCGCTGGAGAAGGTTCAACAAGACCGAGTGCCAGGTCCTGCACTTGGGTCACAGCAACGCCAGGCAGCCCTACAGGCTGGGAGAAGTGTGTCTGGAAGGATGCCCAGCAAAAAAGGATCTGGGGGTGTTGGGAGACAGCAGCTAAACATGAGTGTGCCCAGGTGGCCAAGAAGGCCAGTGGCATCCTGGGCTGTGTGAGAAACAAGGCCCACTCCTCCAAATGTTAATAGTTTAATAAGGGATAATAGGGGACAGATCAACAAAGCCAAAGTAACAACGCTGTGTGTGTGGCAACAGCCAAAAGCACACCCAGTTCTTTAGCAAGCGTCCTTTATCCTGTTGCAGTTGTATTTCTCTGCCAAATGACTTTGGACATTTCTCAGGGCCTGTTTACAACTCCACCTCAGATTGTCACAGCACTGCATAAATCCACAGCTACAGTCTCCAAGGGTCTGTCAGGGAGGCAGTCCAGGGTGACCTTCTGATGCCACTCTAGACTTAGAGAACTTATGGAGAATACCGTAAAGGTAACCAAGTGTCACAGTGAGGGAAGACTCCGGACGCTCAATATGAGAATGAGCAAGCTTCGTTTACTCATGGGAGCATCAGACATTTATGCACAACAATTAATAAGCTCATACATATTCTGTAAGCTAAGCAATCTATTGGTTATACTATAATTATCAGCTCCTCTCTTACTTCTTCGTTCTTTATATCTTATATCTACTTTTTCTCACGTCTTTTTCTCAGCTCTTGTTATTGTAATACAGCTGTGCTCAAGGCTACAGTGTCCTTGCAGTGCAGGGACCCAGATTAGCTGGGTCCAGCACCCTCCCAATTCTTGGTCAGCTATCAAAAATTCCTCCACAACCGTGTAGTTGTTGGCTTTCACTAATTATGTATTGGCTTTTGCAGATTACTCAGGTGGATGCTGTGTCGTGCATTACAGTGTTAACTTTTGCAGAAGTAGCTGTAGTTGTGAAATAATAACTAATACTTTTATTTTTGTAACTAACTGACAATAATGAGAATAACTCAGATATATTTGTGAAATAGCTGATGTTGATTTAAAGTACTTGTGGAAACAGCTAAAACTGTCTGCATGGCCAGATAATGTTAAAGGAATGGATGGGATGAGGATCCCTGCTATTGACTCTTCAACTATCAATAACTCTCACCTGCTGAAAGCACAGAACAGGGGCTGTTGTGAGGAAATGACACACAACCTTCAAAACCACATCCACAATTACTGCATATACTCTAAATAGATGGGTCAGGGGTTGAACCAAGCTAAAGAATTCCCAGAACATGTAAACAAGTTCAAAGAAATGTTTGAACATTCATAATCTTTATGAATGTGTATTTGGCCAGTGCAATAGAGAAAGCATATAAGAAGAGTTACTATGGTTAGCTGATGTGCCTCTGGCCGTAGCTTAGATTGATTTGTCCCTTTTATTATTTGTCCCTATTTATTATTGTCCCCATTATTGATTTGTCCCTTTTATCCTGATGCCGAATTTTGCCCCAAAAGGCGATAACAAGCTGCCCAGAGACTGGATTTAAGGTCTATAGGCAGGAGGTATTTATTGACAACGCGTTGGAGAAATCACTAAATGGATTTCTGAATTATGTACAGCAAAAGCAGGTTTTTATACAATTTTGAACAAGGATTACATCATTTATTACACGCATATTCATAGGCAGGCAGGAATATAGGCGGAGTCTTCCGGGAACTCTTGGTCTTCCTTAGTTAAATTTTAAGCATTTCCTATTTTGGATATCTTCCTGTTATCCTTGGCATGTTTTTCCATGGCTTGGCAGAAGTTACTGTTGTATTTGGCTTGATTCTAACGGCTTGGCAGGTCACTTTAACTTATTGGCTTCCACTTCTGCTTCTTCAAATATTCTAATTCCAAAGTTTCTTCTGTGAGTGTATTTTAGATTATTTAACTTATCTAGATATCTGATCAAAGTTCTCCTTAACAGTGTATTTTAGGTTATTTATTAACTTCTGCGATTCCCTTGATATACTTTAAGTGTCTTTTAATTCTTTTATTTCTCAGAAACTATTGTTCATTGTAATGAATGGCTTCAATCCCTTACTAAGCTTTGTAAAATTTTGAAAAGTGGGGTTAATTTCTCACACCTGTATCAGCAAGTGTGGCCAGCAGGACCAGGGCAGTGACCCTGTACTTGACCCTGGTGAGGCCACACTTCAAATCCTGTGTTCAGTTTTGAGCCCCTAAAATCAGTGTTATGAATGAGGTCCTATTTATCTAATTTAATAAACCACAAAATTAGAATTTAGCAACAACTTCATATAAAATGAATATAATCAGGTAAGCATGTACAAAGTAAATTTGGGAGTGATTATTTAAGTCTAATTAAGGTTCTGCTAAGGCACAAGCAAAACAGACAATGGTACAGACCCGACTGGGGTTTCTCACCCTGCCTCCCCTACCAAAAAAACAGGAATCCAAACACAACTTATATACTGTATGCTAATACATCATCAATATTTTCTTGTAAATCTCCTCCTATTTTTGAATCTACGTCGCTGTACTGCACAGCGCAGTAGAAACTCAGCGCAGTAGAAACCTTGTTTCTAAGAGGTCTTGGCTCTTTGGTGGTCACTTCTGATGAAGGTTTCTCATCATCATCACTGTCCTTTGAACAACCCCACAGGCTGCAAATGCACCCCAAGTCTTGTGTTATAGAAGCCAGCATTACATTCTAAAAATAAGCCTTACTATTTCATAGATACCTAGAATCATCCCAATTTTTTTCCATTTCAAGGCTGATCCCTTAATTATCCCGAGGCTGGGATCCATTTTGGGATATTGCTTATCTCAATACTCTGTATCTTATTTTCTCATGAACATCTGAAAACATTTGTTTTGTGACACTAATTGCATATCCTTTTCCTCTATTACTTTTTAACAAATATTTTCTAAAATATTGATATAGTTACAATTTTTAGCATGAATCACATCAGTAAGGACGTGGAGGGGCTGGAGCGTGTCCAGACAAGGGCAGCAGAGCTGGGGAAAGCTCAGGAGCACACATCCTGTGTGGAGCTGCTGAGGAAGCTGGGGGAGTTTAGTCTGGAGAAAAGGAGGCTCCTGGGTGACCCTTCCTGTGAAAAACATCAATCACTTGTTTTTAAAATTTTAAAAGTTTAATAGTAATAAAATGGTTATAAAAATAGTAATGAAATTAGAGTAATAAAAATTTGGACAATTAGGATTAGGACAATACAAGACAATAAGAACAAAAAGTTATGGATGTCTGGGTACCTTTTTCTGGGCAAAATAAGCCCCAAAAAAGAACACACGTTAACAGATGATTAACCCTTAAAAACAATAGCCCGTTGCATGTTCATACATCTCATACAAGATGCATAAATTCCATTCAAACACAGGATTCTGTCTGGTCAGTGTCAGCTTCTTCCTCTTAATCCTGAGGCGTCCTCAGGGCTGATTGAGGCAGGAAGAAGTTTGTTTCTTCTGATAAGAGGGCAATAAATTCTTTTTCTCTGAAAGATTTAGATGTCCTGTGGCTGCTATCTCGGTGCGAGTACCTCATTCCTCTCTTTAATAAAATATCCCACATACATAGTTTCTATTTTAACTACAAAAGCTACATTTTAACTACAAAACTAAAATTACCATGCTATTGAAATGTTAATACAGCACTACTTACCCCTACAACATAATACATACAGTAAATATCTGCGTAGAGCCAGGTAATGTGCACTTTTCACGCTACCCCTCTATAGAACTGCCTGAAACGAAGGCGTAGCGAGCGTGGGGTCGGCATCTTCGCCCCGGTAACAAGTGACGGGAAGCTGCACCCGGGGAGGCTCAGGTTGGACAGTAGTGCTGTGATTCTGTGAAAAGTGAGCACGGGGCTAGGGAGGGATGCAGGATATCGCCTTTCCCACGGTGAAAGCCCTCGGGAATGGCGGCCCGACGGCGGTGCCGGGCACGGGTATCGAACCCGGGTACCTGGCCGTGACCCCGCCGCGCCCCCGGGTCCCCGGCCACCCCTTCCTTATCACGTGACCGGCGCCTCCCCGGCGCGCCTTCCCGCGAGCGTCGTAGCCAATCAGCGCCGCGCAGGTGTGCGGGGCGGAACATCGGCGGGCGCCACCGCGCATGCTCCATGCCCAGGCCGGGCGCGCTCACTTCCGCGCGGGAGAGTTGAGGGCGGGGTAGGGGGCGGCGGTGGCGGCGGTGGCGGCGACGGCTCGCGCGAGCCGGGCCGCGAGTGGGCGGTAAGTGCCACTGCGGGCGGGGGGAGTGCGGAGCTTCCTCAGCGGCGGTCCCGCAGCGCCGCTCTCCCCGCAGTGCCGGCGAGTGGAGCCTGCCGGGGCTCGGGCTGGGCGGCGGCGCCGTGAGGCGGCCCCGGGAGCGCCCTGAGGGAGGCACCGGTGGGCCCGGGAGGCACCGGGAAGAAGTTCTTTGCTGGTGAGAGTGGTGAGGCCCCGGCACGGGTTCCCCAGAAAAGCTGTGGGTATCTGGTCGCTGGCGGCGTTCAGGGCCGGGCTGGATGGGGCTCTGAGCAGCCCAGTCCAGCGAAAGGTGCCGTGCCCGTGGCAGGGGGCTGGAACGAGATGCTCTCAAGTGAGAGGTGATCAGAAAGACAGTTTTATTTGTTCCTTCTTCTTCCTTGCGAAACCTGCATGTATAGGTTCTGTACTGACGTGGGGAGAATGGGGAGGTGAGTGTCGGTCGTGTTTAGCTGTGAAATCTCCAGCCGTGCTTCTTTCCCCACGAAGCACAAATGAGGGACAGTGAGCGTGGGGTAACGGGTGTGTGATTCCTTTCTTTCTTCCTACTTCCGTAGATCCAGTCCTGCACTGCGCTGGAAGGAAGAGGAGAGCAGAGCAGGGGCAGTGGGTTTCAATAGTGCACTGGAATTCAGAGGACTTGGGTTCTTTTCCTTACTCCCCTATGGATGTACTAAGAGATTCTGTGCCTTAGCCTCCTCCTCTGTAAAAGATGGGTATTTACATACAAGAATGCTTTCAGAACTGGGTCTGGAGAGCAAATACTTAGACAAACTGGTAATGTTTCAGCAGGATTGCTGAATTTGTAAGTGGTACAAGCCCTGACTCTTGCCAGCACTGTTCTCCCTTTTTACTTTCTGTTTCCTTTCCTTGAGTCACTGTTGTAAAAAAGTAAAGAAGCGAAACCAGCAGCCCTCCATGTAGGCAATGGCACAGGAGGAGTGTCAGGTGTGACTGTTCTCTCAGCTGCTGCTCTGCTTTCTGTTTTGCAGCGTCATTTGTCCTGTCATGAGCAGAGGGCAGCAGGAGCCCCCCAGATCTTGCAGCTGAATTGGGCCCCCTGCGTTCCCTGTGGTGGTGACAGTGGAAGTAAAGGGTTGCAGAAGGATTTAGGGACAGCAAGGGATTGACTGTAAAACAGCAGGTGAAAATCCAGCATTGATAAGTGAAAGATGATGGATGTGGCAGAGAAACAACCATGATGCTGATGCCCTCCCTACTTAATCAGATGCCACTTAAGAAGGAGATCTAGGGAACTGTGATACTGGTCTGGGGTTGACAGGGTGGTGTTGGGTCATTGTTTGGACTTGATGATCTCAGAGGTCTTTCCCTACCTAACTGCTTCTGTGGCAAGTATGTGACTCACTGATAGGTGTCCCTTCTGGGGTGGCCAGGAGGACAAACCCATGGATCTGTCCCTATGATTTCTGTCTTGAATTCTCCCCCTCCAGTTAGGTACAAATCAGGGTACTTTTGTACCTTCCATTGTTTGTGGTCACATTGCACAGAATACCCTGGGGGTGCAGGTGGTGCAGGACATTTCCTGGTAAGCAAGGGAAAGCACAAGGCCACACGGCTCCCACACTGCCTCACATTCCTCTCCAGGCCTCTGGCAGCACAAACCACCATCCCTCCACCCAGATTTGTCTGCTCTGATCACCCTGGGCCTCCCCTTGCTTGTTGAGCTTCGTGTATTTTTCACTGCTTTGTGCTTCCAACAGTGGTTCTCTGGAAGTGTCAGCTCTGTGCTCAGAATCAGGCTAAAATGAGATTGAAATAGTGAGAATTGTTAAGGAAAGAAGGAAAATACAGAGTGATGTTGTGGTGTGTTTGTAGTGTAAATGGTAGCCCACCCTTTTGGAGGTAGTGTGCTCCTCTTTGAGTGTAGCCAGCAGAGTATAGAAGTGACAGAGGTGGAAAAAACTGCAGACCAGCTTCTGTAGAGAGAAGACCTAAATAGTTTCAGATCCCTTGGCTTTAAAAAGAGACAGCAGGAGAAATAGTAACAGAGCAATGATGTCATGAGTGCTACTGAGAGAGTGGAGCAAGGAGCAAGGATTTCTTGCCTTTTCAAACAGATGCAAGTGTTTCAACTGGAATCTCTGAGTGGCGGGCTTAAGCCCTGCAAAAGCAAGGCGTTGTTGAGATGAAATGTAGCTAAGCTGTGAAACTGGAAACCTGCCCTTAGCCTCTCCCTTCTTGCGTAGGAGCAGCCAGCCAGCTCCACTGCCCTGTTTAGCTCCAGGTCCTCTTCCTGGTAGTGCTGTAGCAGAAAGCTCAGGAAGAGCACGGGCTCCTGTGGGGGTTTGTTGGGTTTGTATGGCCAGGTTTGGGTAGCAAGAGGGCTACAGGGGTGCCTTCTGTGAGAAGCTGCTGGAAACTTCCCCCGTGTGCAGCAGAGCCAGTGCCAGCTGGCTCCAGGACTGACCCCCTGCTCCCAAGGCTGAGCCCAGCAGGAATGATAGTAACACCTCTGTGGTAACATATTTAAAAAGGGAAGGAAAAAAGTTACTGGGCAGATAAAATTGTGGGCAGAGAGGAGTGGAGTGGGAATATGTGACAGGAGCAACTCTGCAGACATTGGGGTCAGTGGAGAAGAAGGGGCTGGAGGTGCTCCAGGTGCCAGAGCTGGGATTCCCCTGCAGCCCCTGGTGCAGAGCATGGTGATGCAGGACATGCCCTGCAGCCCAGGGAGCTCCATGGTGATGCAGGACATGCCCTGCAGCCCAGGGAGCTCCATGGTGATGCAGGACATGCCCTGCAGCCCAGGGAGCTCCATGGGGATTCAGGATGTGCCCTGCAGCCCAGGGAGCTCCATGGTGATGCAGGACGTGCCCTGCAGCCCAGGGAGCTCCATGGGGATTCAGGACGTGCCCTGCAGCCCAGGGAGCTCCATGGGGATTCAGAGATCCATGCACAGCCTGGGAGCAGGTGGGTGCCTGAGAGAGGCTGTGACCCCATGGGAGGCCCATGCTGGAGCAGGGCCCTGGTAGAACTTGTGACCCTTGGTGGAACCAGCACTGGAGCAGCTGTGCCTGAAGGACTGCACCCCATGGGAGAGTGACCTGTGTTGGAGCAGTTCATGCAGAGCTGTTGTTCGTGGGATGGACTCACGGAGGTGTTTGTGGAGAACTGTCTCCATTGAGAGGGACCCACACTGCAGCAGGGGAAGGACTCTCCTTGAGTGTGGCAGGAACAATGAGTGGTGAACTGACCCTAACCCTCATTCTCCATCTCCCTGTGCCTCTTGGGGGAAAGAGGTTGAGTTTGGAAAGAAAGGAGGGGTCAGGGCAAGGTGGTTTTAAAATCTATTTTACTTCTTATTATCCTGCTCTGATTTTGTTAGCAATAAATTCAGTTAACTATCCCCAAGCTGAGTCTGCTTTGCCTGTCATGGCATTTGGTGAGGGATCTCTCCCTGTCCTTAGCCCATGAACCCTTTGTTATATTTTCTCTCCCCATCCAGTTGTGGAGGGGAGTGGTAGAGTGGCTTGGGGGAGTGTCTGGCATCCAGCCAGGGCCAGCCCACCACAGGGGGACAGGATACAGGGCTAAACAGGGCTGTAGCTGCAGGCTGCCTGCTTCTGCACAGAGGAATGGCCAAGGGCTGGATTTCCACTGCTTCAGGATTCCTAGAAAGGTGCTGGAGTTAGCCCAAGGCTGACCATGATCAAGTGTCTTCTGTCCTCCATCAGCACCAGGATTTCTCTGGAGCCTGTAAGAACAGCAGGGACTGTAGAGTCCACATTTAGCCCCTTCCTTAAAAAAATTCCTAGAGCTGGATCCCCTAACTGGGCCTGAGCAGGCACTGTGTGTCTGCATTGATTCCAGGTATTGGTTTGCTGCAGAGAGCTTTTCCTCTATTCTAGGCCATTCAGACTCTAGCTCATTCTTCTTTTGAATTTCTGTCTGTTCTATTCTAGTTCTAATATGTCCTTGTGTTTCTGTTTGTTTCTATTGTATTTATTGATTGCTCACGTTCTGAAACTGATAAGATGGTCAGTGTATAGATGGGTATTGGAAATCAGTTTCTACCCTGCCTTGCTTACAAGACATAGAAGGACAGAGAGAAAAAAACTCCAACTGTGTGCAAAGGCAAAGTGACTTGTGATTACAAGTAAATTGTCAGGAGTGTAAGCCAAAGGGGAAAAACCATAAAAAATCCTCTTCTGCTTTGGTGGTGCTTCCACTTGGGGTTACCCAGTCTGTTTTATGCAAGGGGAATGGGAGCTAACAAAAACAGTTAGTCTGTTGAAACTTGGAAAAAGGTTGCAGGATTTGTTGGGCTATGACATTTCCTGCTTGTTTTGTGCTTGGGCCTTACTACCTCTCACTAGAATAATTGAACTTCAGATCTTTCTGTTTCTTGAAAGTAAACACAGATTTTTCTTCCCCGTTGTCGTACAGGAGTTTGTGCTGTCAGAGGTGACGTCTCCAGCAGAGGATAGTTTGGAGTATCACACCCTGTAGGAGTGGGAAGTTGTTGAACATTTCTCTGGTGGACTTGCACAAAAAACGCAAAGTAAAATTTCTGCTACAAATGTTGTGGGGTGATGCTCTAACCTGCTGGTGGGGGATGTGTGTAAAGGCTTGTCCAGAGACACTTAGACTGCTTTTGGGAAGTATGTAGGTGGCCTCAGAATGTTACAGCTGCTGGAGAAAGACTGTGTGAATAACAATTAAGACTTAAGTGAATATGGCCAAGAAAAGATAACAAGTGTCCCTAGGAAAATTCCCAGGGCTCAGGTAAAATTCTGTCACCCCTGTCAGCATTTTGCCTTGTTGAGAGAGAATGTTTGAATCTGTCACTTAAGATTTTTTTTTTTGTGCCCCAATTTACTTGTAGACTTCTCCACAGTACTTTGCTACATTCTTCTTACAGCAATAAATTCGTATTTCTTCCTTGTTTTCTGTGAGCTCCTGGAAGGCACTGGTGAAGCTTGGGGGCAGCTGTTTCTCTGTCCTTTGTTGACTTGCAGACCCACACGTGGCAGCAGTAGGTTAAGAAAACACTATGAGTGATTGCCCTCCTCCAAATAAAAGGAGTTTCACACCTGAGAGCATGACTTGCCAGGCTGCTCTTGGATCTGTTTTTGGAGCAGATATTTCAAGCAAGCTTGAAAACTCTGGTATTACCCCTTATGGCTTGTTAGTGACTTTCCAAGAGGAGAGAAACCACTCTTTCTTCCGCTCTAATTGCTGGAGCTCCTGGGATCTGGTTTCCATCCCACTGCTGTGCCAGGTGCAGGCTTTTCCTGTTCTACTGGTACTTGTTACTGGAGGAGCAGAGCACCCGGGGTCAGGGGATGTAGGTGGAGGCAGGTGTTGGCAGGCTCTGCTTTCCTCTGTCCTGAATGGCTTATGGAAGTTGTCAATTGCTTTGTGTTTTGTCCCAGCTTTCCTGTTCTAGGTGCTTTGTGGATAATGGCGAAGATGGTGAGAACGACGTGTGCGTTTTGTTCAGAAGGGGAGGCTGGCTCTGTGATGTACATTGCCACAGAGAGAAATATTGCAGCTCATCAGGATTGTCTGGTGAGTGCCTTTAGCTGGGCGCTGCTGAAGGGATGAGGGGGAAGGTTCCACTGCTTATCTGTTTTTGGTTTTGCATTGATGTCTGGATTGAAAGGCTGGTTACTCAAACTAGCAAGTTTATATTATGAAAAGCTTAAAAAGCAACAGGGCTTGGCCAGGATTTTGGAGCGGGAGAGGATGTGTCTGCACAGCTGGAGCTGTTGATCTGTGGTGTTTTCATGTGTGTCTGTTGCTGAGCAGTGGTCCCAGACACACATGAAAATACCATAAAGACCACATATGGTCTAGCAACAGGAATAGGTCTTCTTGAGGCACTGTTGAGACTCATCCTCTTGGATGAGGATTCTCAGACCACACAAAGTTGTATACTTAAAACTTTGCAGGAAAATATCCATATCACTTAAAGATTAAAAAACTTTCCAATGTGTCAATAATTTAAAATAAGGAATAAAAATATCAGAAGCTGATGATATAAAAATATTTGTGAGGCTCTTAAATGTGTTGCAATCCTCCTACTCTTCATGCCTTCCCTTTATTCTGGAGTGTTGGTGGAGCTGGTTCTTGGAGTGCAGAATCAATTACAGCTGCTGTATTCTCCCTGCAGCAGAGGGAGAATATAGCTGAGGGCAGTTTAGTGCCAGAGATTGCTGCTGGAGCAGCTTTCTGGCTGTCACTGTCCCAGCCTTCTTATTCTCACAATTGTTATGTCTGCATCTTTACTTTTCTAATATCTCTTTTGGTTGGTTATTTTTTATCAGAATGTCTCACAACAGCGTTGTTTTACTTGAATGTTTTGTTTGAAACAGGTTTTATTATGGCTTTAATGTTTCTCCAGGGTTAAAACTTCTCTTTCTCTCCCTGTCTCTGTTCTTTCTTTTTTCCGCTTTCTTTCTCCTTCCAGTAACTTTACTCATTTCTCTGCCTTAGGCTTGTTTGTGCTGTTTGGGTTTTTTTTGCAGTCAGCTATCACCCTCTGAGCAGACAGACTGTGCCTGCTAGTTGATGAAAGGGTAGCTCCCTTTTGTTTGGAATTAGCTACATGTAATGCTTAGGAAATATTTGCCAAGAACTTCCCCTTCCTCACTCACTGTCATGGCTCAGCAGTTCTATGGGAATTAAAGTGGCCTGAGTGTGCATGTATGCATTTTTAGTGAGTTTCTCCCAGGATACGTACAATGTTTCTGGTTTTTTTCCTGCAGTCAGCTGTTGTCAGCTTTGGGCTGTATGGAAATCTTATTACAGAGAAATGTTGCATCCAGCTGTAGGTCTGAACAGCTGAGCAAATAATAAGATGTCCAAGGTGTGGAGGTCTCTTGCCTGAAGATCTTCTCATCCTTACTCTGGGCACCCTGAAATTTCACATTTTCTTTGATCATATTTTTAATAAGTTTCTCACCTTGCTATCTTTTCTTAGTCTGCCTTCAGGTTATGTGAAATCTCCTGTGTGGAAGGAGGAACTTTTTTTGACTGCAGAAATGTTTAAGCTTAGCTCCTTGTTCAGTGTAGGTGAAACCTCTTGTTAACACACAGAAAAATCAGCCTCCTTAGGTAGGGCAAGTGCAAGAAGAAAAGATGCAACTTATTCCTTGTTTCTTTTCAGCATTGGTGACTAGGTCATTCTTATTTCTTATAAATGTCTCTTTTGTCTTTAGTTATTTTCCTCAGGATTTGTGGAATCTGAAGATCATAACCCAGATAATCTGGAAATAAGGTTTGATGTGTCATCAGTGTTGAAGGAGCTGAGGAGAGGAAAGCGGCTGGTAAGGAGATGTTTCTGAGTCTGCACTTAGTCCTGTCTCATAGTGTTGAAGGTTGTCTGGCCTGTTCTGTGCTTTATAAAAACCCATTGAAGTAGCTGGTCCTTCTGATCTAATAAGATTAGGGAAATTACAGGTTTAACATTGGAGTCATTGATTTACCTTTTGGTTTGGTGGAATTTAGTTCATTCTGTATTAAAATGCAGGTGGGTTTTTTCCTGGCCTTTTGTGTCCTTAGTTGAAGTTTCCTGAGACTTTGGTATAGAACTAAGCCAGTGCCTGAAACAAAAGAATGCAATCTACAGTTGTAAAGGGGAACTCATTCTGGGTTTAGCAGAAATGTGATTGATTAAAGGAGGGTTTTTTTAATTGCCTTTGTCTTCAGCTGCCCTCCTCCCCAATGTCCTGGGTGGAACTCTTTTCATTACGAAGTTAGCTAGGAAACATAAATACAAACATTAACACGAATTAATGTTGAAATAACTTGGGAAAGTTGCTAGAGCCCTCACTTGGCTCTTTGCCTCATTTTACAAACTGATCAGTATGAATTAGAGGTAAGATAGCAAAAAGATGGCTGCAGTAATGACCGAGGTAGGCGTTCGCAGGGCTGAATTTGCCTGATGAATTACTCAGAGGTGACTTGCAATGGAATACTGGATTTTCCCCCAGAGAACATCATTTGCCCTCTCTGGCAGGATTTGGAGTAGCTGCCTGTGGCATTTACGAGGTGAACCCCCTCCTGTTGCAGGCGTGCAGCTTCTGCCGCAAGAAGGGGGCCACGGTGGGCTGCGAGGAGCGCACGTGCCGCAGGAGCTACCACTTCTTCTGCGCCCTCTGCGACGATGCCGCCGTGGAGACCGACGAGGTCAACGGCGTCTACAGGTACTCAGCCAGTGTCCTGCCACTGCCAGCCTCGGGGGTCAGCAAGGGGCACTCATTGGCTGGGCCTTAAAGGGGTTTTAGGCAAGGAAGTAAGTTCCCCTCTCCTAAAGTGATCCTCTGTTTGCACACTGTGGGAGAAGTGTTCTCATTTCACAGGAAAACTGCAGTGGGAGGGAATCTGTTCGGTGCTTGAGCCTGTAACATCACTGAAAGATAACAAGGCAAAAACTGAGAAAGTCAGTCTTTACTGACTCTTAGCCAATCTTCAAGAACAAAGACTTTTATTAATCTCACTCAGATTCTAAATTTTTTGTTGGTTCAGAAGCTCCGGTAAACGTGGTCTGAGCACAGAGCAGGTTATAGCACTTCTAGGTCTGCTCACATTAGTCAAATTTGGGTAGTTTTCCCTCCCCATGCTAGCAAAGAACTTTGATTCCCACCAAAGGCCTTGTATGTCAAGTATGTTGCTAGCAATAACATGATTGAATGCATTCTAAGTAAATTTTCTGTCCTGATCATGATAGTCCTGGTGTCCACTGCCTTTGGGCTGCCTGCATTGCCCTTGACAGATGAAACAAATAGTTTGGAGGATGCAGATGAAGGGGTTGAAAAATTGAGGCTTCAGGGACCTTTTGAAATGCTGAAGTTATAGTAAAGTCTGAGGTGCATAAAAGCCCTGGTGCTCATTTCTGTGCACGGCCAGAGAGGTCACAGGTCATGTTAGACTTAGATTAATTTGGGGATCATCTAATCACTACTTGTTTCAGAAAGGGGTGGACTAGTGCAGTCCTTGGTTGCAGTGGAAGATGGGTCCTTTTGTGGCAAGAGACTTGCACTCCTGACTGGTTCACAGTGCTTTCTGTCTAAAGTGAATGCATCTGTGCAAGGCTGTAAGCCCAGCTGTGCAGGGAGGATGGGAGCTGTAAAATCTTTGTGAATCTGCAAAGCTCATGGAAGAATGGAACCAGGAAGATGGAAACTTTCTATGATCACAGTTTCATCTTATAGCTTTAGAAAGGATAACTCAGGCTCAAGAAGACTGAACTCAAGATGTTGAAAAACAATTGGGACTGACAGCAGTCTAGATACAAACTGGTAAAGAAGTGCTTGCATATACAGTTTGGTTTGGTGGCATTTTGGAGCTGGTGACCTCGGAGATTTGGAAGAGGGACCCTTAAAAATGCCTTGTTTTAAGTCACTGTGGGACACTGATAGCCTAGGAAACTAGGCTATAGCAACCTTTATTGAGGAGCTGGGAAAGGACTGGATTAGAGAAGGATGCTAGGACAGCTTTCAAGGATTTGAACCTAAAGACTTTTGCACTGTAGCAGTGGTGTAATTAAAGCACAAAAGTTGTAGCTAGCTGAAATTATTGGAGAGTACACTTGAAAAACAGTGGATGTGGATTGACAGCCCCTGCACATTTTCATGGTGAAATATAACATACCAAAAAGAGAGAATTCCTTCGAGAGAGGCAGAGCTGGTGGCTTTAAATTCTGAGTTGCCATCGTTGTGATGATGGGTAGTGATCATCAAAACAAATGGAGCAGAATAAAAAGAGAAAGCAATGGTGCTGTGGAAGTGGCCAGTAAGAACAGAGGTGGAGAAATCAGTACAATTTGCACTGCTGTCTTGCAATAATGATAGTAGGGGAGTGCTTCCAAATAAAGTGGCCTGAGTAGTAAAATACACTGTTTGTACTTTGTAAGATGTTCCTGTGCTCAGGATGGGTTGTTTTTAACTGTGAAAGACTAGAACTAAAGGCAGGGGAAAAATAAAAAACATTCTCCAAAGAGCAGTATTAGAAATTCAGGGATGTAAATAAGGTGTGTTCAGTATATAGCTTTCTGATTGCATTGTTAGGCATACCTAAATCTGATTTGTTGTGCTTCAAGATGCATTACATGCAAAAGAAGTTCCTCATCAAGCCAACAGTCTGTATTTCTAAGGGCAGTGCTTCTGTTTTTGTTAAAAGAATTACAATAATTAGAAAATGTCCTAGTAAATGCAGTTCCCTTTAAAAATTGCTCCTGACAAGGCATTTTTGCTTAAGAAGTGACTTGGGATCCTTCTGTAAGAAAGGCATATTATAAAAGTTGGTTCATGTTCTTTGCACATTATTGTATCCAAAAGATAAGGAACATTTTCAGATAAATTTGTTTCAGTTTGCCTTTTCCAAGGAATTCACAATGCTTTCCTAGAACCACTGAAAATATTCCCATTTCACATATTGCTGAAGTGTTTAAGTAACAAATGGACTGAGCAGCTTTAAGCTACTGGATCTCACACAGGGTTGCCCCACATACTCAGGGTTTGGGGGCCATTCCATGAGCACAGGGCAGCGGGAGGGAGGGGCACGGAGATCTCCAGGCAGGTGAGTGCATGGTGGTGCCACGTGGCCCTGCCAGCCCTGCAGGGCTTAGGAGTGGAAGGTGACACTGGGCAGATGTGTCTGAGGAGGCTCCTGGCCCGTGTGGGGCAGAGCTGCTGTGATGGAGCAGTGTCAGGACTGTGGTGTTTCACCTTGGGAGCATTAATCTCATTTCAGTGTCTCTGACACAGTGATTGCCACACACATGAAATGTGTCTGACTCAGGGCCTGAGCAGTGGGCAGGCCCAGACAGGGGGTCTGGTGGAGCTCATCATTCAGAGCTTCAGTGCTGAGAATCCACTGTGGCTCTAGGAGTACAGACACAAGGTTGTGCATGCACAGGACTTTAAGGCAGGTGGTTTTTGAGGTGGGCAATGCTGAACAAAAATCCTGGGTTTTTTGAACTGTCTTTCAGTTTATGTTCGGTGGAAAGAGGAGAAAATATATGTTAAAATAGGTCAACATAACTCTGTTTGCATGTTCATTAATACTACTTCTCTTTTTTTTTTTAATTGAACTTAAATTTTAGAGTGTACTGCCCAAAACATGACCCAGGGAATAGGACCAATCGCTATGGTGAGTTTCTTTAATGACTTCATTGATTTCATTTGTTTTAAAAGTTTGCATCCTACAATCAGTAATTCATAAGAACAAGATAAATATTACTACCTTCATATCGAGTGGTGGATTTCTAATCTTGCAAGAGTGGTTTGGTTAAGATCCATATGTATGCAAAAAATCAAGGGATTTTTGAAATGGTAAAAGTTAAAACTTAATCCTCCCAGAATCTTCTTGAAAACTGGCCTAAACCACAATGGACCCAATCCTTAATGGAATAATTCTTACTCTTCTTTGGGCAAGTAGGCCCAAGCAGCTTGTAAAATCCATGTGAGACAGGAGAGCCACACACAAGTTTGCACTAGATTAGCAAGGAAAAGGCTGTTTCAGGAGAAGTCACCTTGGGCTTTTATCTGTGGTTATGCAGACATTCACATTTACATCTTCTGTATTCACTGCAGTAGTTTTTAAAATGAAGGATCCCGAAGAGCTTTTTAAGTGTAACAAAAGAGTTGTACAATCCTTGTTTAAGGATTGCTTCCTGTGCTGCAGAAATGCAGCTTCATTTGGCAGTCCTGGCCCTTCCTGATTCAGAGGTATTTGGAAATGCCAGCCAAAGCTGGACCTTGTTGGCCTAATGCAGAGAACTCTGCTCACACTGAAGTGGCTCCTGGACTGGCCTTCACTTTGAATTTGACCTCAGTTGAACTGAGCCTTGCTCCACCCTGATGACACTGAAGAGATGGGTTAGGTGATTATAATTTAAGCTTTTATTCATGAGGGCTGGGGCTTTGTGGAAAGACTCCACAACTTGTATAAATTGTAAGGTAGATGTGTATTTATTCAGTAGTGGGCACATGCGGGATCTCTCTGCAGGGTCTGAGGAGCCTCTCTTATCTCCAACAGGCCTTGCATTCCTTCCACTTTGTTTGGGGTAATGAGCTCTTCTTATCAGGATCCCTGCATTCCTTTTTCCACCTTCACAGGCCTTTGCCAGCACAGCAAGTTACAAGCTAAGCAACATACATCATCTAAAACAGCTATCCTAACTCCAAAATTAATTTCTGCCCTAAATTAATTTCTAATGCCCCTGGCTCACTTCTTAACCAGACATACAGTCTGTTTAGTATCTGATATTGCTGTGGTTCACTAACCAAATGCATCTTCTTAGTTTACTTAGTAGCTTTGCTTTTTACTTATCCATAGTTCTGAATCCTGACCTTTCTTCCCTTTTCAAAATTATTTTGATTTCTGTGGTCTCATGGTTGTCAGTGTCTGCTGGGGCTGCCCAGGGTCCCTGGTGATCTCCTGCACAGGTACTGGACAGGCCCAGGATTGTTTTGTTTCCAGCACCAGATAATATTCAGGCATTAGGTCCAGCCCTCTAGACCACTCCTTGTTCATCAGGAGTACTTAAGTCTTATAAGGTTGAATCACAGAATGATTTGGGTTGGAAGGAACTTGGAAGATTATCTAGTTCCAGTCTGCTTGCTTTGGGCAGGCACACATTCCACTAGACCAGGTTCTCAAAGCCCCATGCAGCCTGGCCTTGAACGTTTCCAGAGACAGGGCATCCATAACTTCTCTGGACAAACTGTTCTAGAGAGTCACCACCCTCACAGTATGGCATTTCTTTATATCTAACCTAAGCCTGCTGTCTTTCAGTCTGAAGCCATCTCCCTTTGTTCTGTCCTACATGCTCTGGTACAAAGTCATTTTCTGGCTTTCTGGCCCCCTTTAGATACTAGATGGGTTTTGTGTCTTCAAATGTTGCATATGCAATGTTCCCTGAGAAGAGAGTTTTCTCCTAGAGGAATTCTTCCAGAGACACTGAATTTAGAGACCTTCTGTTTCTGAGGGGTAAATGAATCCTGCCTCCTGAATGAGCTTCTCTCACTTCCTGAGGGTAGCTGTACCCTGGGAAGTGGGGAGCAAGTGGGAGAGTTGAGTAGAAGACACTTGGTTCCCCGAGCCCAGTGTCTCCTCCTTCATAGTTTGGAGAATAGGGGGTGAAGGAAGATCCCCTTATTCTTGTTCATACAATATTCTTGTGCTGGAATGTCAGAGCTCTGCTGTGTGATTGGAAAGGGATAAGATGCCTTATGGGCCAAGAACTCTCCTTGCAGCTCTGTGCAGCAAGGATGTGAGAGCAGCTTGGACTTGGGAACAGGCTCCAACCTCTGTTTAACTGGAGGAGCTGGATGTGGACAGACAAATGCAGGAGAGCAGCCAGCACTGTGCAGGGCAGGAGGAGTTGGGCTGCTCTTCAGACTGTGTTCCTCTTGTATAAGGCATCCTTACAGCAGATATCGGGGAGAGCTCAGAAAATCCCATAAGTGTCAAAAATACCACACTGGACAGCAAGGAACACTTGTACCTACAGCAGTATCTCCCACACTGCCCCAAATTTGGCCTCACAGGTTTGGTTTGGATGAAGTGAGAGACCAATTTCCTTTCAGCCCATGAGAAATGCAAATGTACAGCACCAGTGCCCAAAGCCCAGACTTGTTTTCACAGCCTCTGTATACAGCAATGGCTCCTCATTCCTCTTGATAGGATGATTTCTAACAGGGAGGCCCTTACTAAGTACTGCCCAGAGGTTCTGGAATTAAACAGGGAAGGGAAAGTATAACCCCACTGTACACTAAACATTCAGGTTTTGGTGGGTGGTTGCCCTCTTCTTTGCCTTTCTCTGCTCCTGCCATGTCTTCTTGCCAGATCTATCCCTCTCTGCTTGTGATACTGTAGCTGTTTCCAAAAGCTGCCAGTTGTGATGTTGGCAAGAGTCTGGTGCGTGCTGATGGAAAGGATGCGGTGAAAGCAGAGATAATTTTTCAGAGATCTTCTACCACACAACTGCAAACGCTTTGTAGCATAAATAATAGTAAACTGACAAGTCAGATGGCTTCTGGAGGTTTTCTGGGAGGGTCCTTATGTTGATGAAAACACTAATGCCATTTGTATGTCTCTGATACACCTAAGTAATTCTCTATGTAGTCTTAGTTTTGAGGGTGTATTAACGTACATAAGAATTGTTTGGAAAACCAAACCGGTTTTTACCACCTAGAAGTGATGTTGCTGCCAGGAGGAATAAGTTCACTCTGCCACAATTAAAAATCTACTGAGTTGAAAAGGTTAAGTGATATCCTAATGCTATAATGATTTGCACTTTTCCTAATGGTTGATTGATGCTTGCAATTTTCCTTAATGGAAACAGTGTGAATTCTGCTGAAATGTCAGGTTTTTGGGGAAGCTGAAACATATTTCTGCCTTGCCACTCAAAGGGCCTTACTTCCTTAGCTTTTTGGGAAGAGAAGGAATTTAAATGATGTGTGATGGTCAGTCTGAGGTTGTCACTTTTGTTACCTTGTTGTTTATTGATTCCTAGATGCAGCTAATAAGAAAAGAAGACGTACGTTGACATCTCCCACCATCACAGAAGAAATGGTAATTCTGAATTTCAGTAATACTAAAACAGGGGACCCACACCTGCCACAGCAAAGGACTTGCATATCAGAGTATTCTGACAGTGTTCAGAAAGAGCCTTGGGAGTTCCCAGTAGGCATTTGTTAACTTCTCTGCTATTTGCAAATACAGTGGTTAAGGGGGGTGGTGTCCCAGGTGTTTGGCTTTTCTTAAAGCATTTTTGCTTTGAAGCAGTTTTTGCTTCCATTTTCAGAATAGAATGTCTGCAGAGGAATATTGTTAGCCATTCAGAGAGGCTGACTGTGTTCACAGACATGTGGACTGCTTTTTATCTTTCTGCTAAGACACAAGTGTGATAATGACAACAGCAGTAAATGTCAGCATGGTGTAAAAATGCAATGTTTTGATTTTCTTACAGAGTACAGAAGAGACAGCAGAAGAAAACAGTTTACGAATCCTAAAAAGAAAAAACAACAGGCATAAAGGTGAGACTCATTGGATACCAGAAGGGTTAATTCAGTTTTTACTGTGCCTGTGAAACTTTCAGCAGAGAAACAAGGCATGCAAATGCTGCTCCTCCAGCAAGGACAGTGGGAAGACAAGAAGAAGATATGTGGCTCAAGAATGCAGTGATAGATGGAACAAAGGACTTATTCTCTGGGAGCCTGGGGTGGGATTTATGATAATGGATAAATTGTAAGTGTATGTAGGGAGTGTATATGAGCAACACACTTAATGTGGAGCCAGGGTGTCCATGTAAGGTTAGGTGAATTCCCTGCAGAGCCTTGGGCCTGAGGAAAGGATGCTCTCTTTAACTGCAGTGTTAAGGAACCTTATTCTGATATTTTGGACATTTGATAACAACTTCATGGAGCAGCTAGGAGGTACTGTGATCTATTATGTTCAAGTGCAGAGCTTGGAGATGGCTGGTAGCAAATTCTATGCTGCAAATGTATTTTTATGATTCTCCTGAGACAAGTGGCTGTCTCTGTGCTCTGGTGTGGCAGCAGAAGTCTGATTTGCAGAATGCTTTAATAGCTGTGCAGCAAACAAATGCCTGTGGTGAGACTTGCTGTGTGATGTGAGCTGGTGATTCAGATGGGAATACCCTGCTCTGGCTGGCTGCTGTGTTCAGCTCTGTCACCTGCAGACAGGGGTGCCTCTGCCTGACGTTGCTGCTCCATATCAGAATTGTTAAATCTGAAATGGGAACCCTGGAAGGCATTAACAGAGGAGGTGCTCTGAGTAGGGAGCAGCACATCTTGCCTTTGGAAGCCTGGGTGTACACAGGGTGCTTAACACAATATAGGCTGTCACTGCATGTCTATGGTGTTACAACAGTGAGATGGATCACAGGAGTTGTCCTGCAGTTTTCGTGTTACCCTGAAGCTCCTGCTGCAGTTGGGATTCTGCTGGCACTTGGAAGTTTGGAATGTGCTAGTGGTGATTATTCACCTCACTGTGGATATGCTTCATGTATGGGCATGGTATTGCAAGTGGCTGCCTAGTGGTCTTTTCTGAATTTCATTACCACTGTAAAGAGCAGGAAACCTATAAAGAATCCTGGAATACTCCTAGAGCATCTCCTGTAAGTGAGAAAGCATTTCTTTCCTCACAAATGTCTCCAGTAGAATGTAACATTGTTTTTAAAGAGACTGGCAGACTTTAGTGAGCCATCCAGTGCCTCTGCTTTTGAACAGCCCATTGCATTGATCTTACTAAAACTTGCTGCTGCCCAGCGATAAAGAAAAACTGGTTATTTCTCTATCAATCCAAATCTGACAAAGTCGGTGTATAAAATGGGCTGTAATAAAAAACTTTAGTTGCCTGGATCACTTGGAATAAAAGTAGCCTCAATTTTTACCAAATCCGATTCATTTATTGCACTGTTTTCTGTCTTTAGCCTGCTTAGTCCATGGTGTGGTCCTAAGGATTGGTGAAGCTGCAAGCAAGACAAATCACTAGGGGGTATCATGAGCTTTAGGAATGGAACATTTAGAGCTGTGGAGCTGTTTGCTTGTGATGAATGAAGCCAAATCTAGAGCTTAGGGAATTTTACACCCAGCACAGTGCTTACATTTGCCTGGCTACTTTTTTGTTCCCACTGAAAAGGGCTGTGTGGGTGGCTGGAGGAGCCAGAGATCTGCAAAACTATTCGTTACTGGTGGAAGGGCTTTGGCTTAAATTTCAGTTTCTGAAGAGAGGGAGCAAAGCCCACTTTACAGATCACTTCTGTATGAGAATACTCTTGTGTTTTAACAGTTCGGATAGACTTTGTTAGGAAGTGCAAACAAGCTGGGCTTCTGGATGATATATTTGAAGAAATGCTGGACACACTTCATCTGGCTCAGGAAAAGCTGATGGATGACAACACTTCAGAAACAGGTATGTTTCAGGGGGACCCATGGCAGGGACTCTGCTGTCAGAGTAGAGGTGCAGATCTGAACCCTGGGCACTTGGCCCTGGGCCACCTTCCTGAGAATAGCGTGGTGCTAAATAACTCAGTCCTTATTTCTGCAGCTGTGCAGGAGGTTGAAAATTACCTCCCCTTTTGAATGACCACTTACAATGAAAGTTCCAAGGAACTTCTTTCTCAAAATTATGTAAGAGCTTCCAACTCAGTATCTCCAGTGAGACCTTCTGACTTGAATTTTTGAAGCCACCTTTTACATGCTGGCATAAGCATAGGAAGGTTTAGTTCAGCCTCTCCTCCCAGGAACTGGGGAACAGAGAGGTCCTGAAGAGAGCCAGGTTTTATTTAGGTCATAAGTCTGTGTTGCTCTTGCAGCTTCACAGAGGTACCAGCTGTCTGTTAATATCAGCACTCTCCTGAGTGAAAATCCCTGAGTATGTACATTTTAAGGCTTTGGATGATTTGTTACAAGTGTACTGTCAGCTGTTAGTGTCTGTTTCAGGTTTTTATGGGTTTATCACCTTGCATGAGGTACTTTGTTTTTGAAGAATTCCAATCTAATGTTGCTTTGTCCACAACACAGTTAAAGAAAGTTTTGAACTTTCCTCTCCAGTTGCCCTCCTGGTTTTGCAAAGTTAGGAGTAATACCTTTGCATAAAGAAGGCCATTTTATGCAAAGTAACTGAAGCACATGCATGGAAAGTGAAATGTCCCACCTGGAAAGTCTTCCTTCATGAGCAGCTGGTGTGTCAGTTGAACTCTGTGAGTGTTTTGTATTTTGCTTCAGCAGAAGCCTCAGGTATGAAATTGAGGTGTAATTCTTGGATATTTCTCAACAGCAAATGGGGATAGCTCAGCCCCACAGCTGATGTGTCAGGAGGAGTTGGTACAGTCAGCTCTGCCATCACACAGTCCTGGCACACTGAAGTCAAATATGGCTTAAGCATATTGCTCTTCTTTAAATGCACTGTTCATGTGGTGCAGACACAAAAAAGGAATAATCTTCTGTGTGAAACTAAAAAGAAAGAATTGACAATTTGATCCTTTTTTCTCAATCTAGATTATATGAGAAGGAAGACATCTTAAAACCTTGAGCAGTCAGTATAATGGAAAATAAGTAATTACTGTTTTGTGGTTCCTCTAATGTAGGGCTCTGTAAACCTTTCCTCAGCAGTATTACATCAAATTATCTCTTTCCCCAGAGTATGAAGAGACAGTGATGGCACTGTTTGACTGTGGACTGTTTGAAAACATACTGACAAATATTTATTCAGGTAGGTGCAGAAAAGCTGTCAGAGGAGCAGCTGATCTGGGATTTGGCATTGAAGTTATTCTAATGAGAATTTTGATAAAACAATAATTCAAAATGAAAATTCCAAGGAACTTTTTTTCTCAGTGTTATATAAACAGTTGAATAAAAGCCATGGCTAACTGAATCTTTAGAAATACATTATATTACATGGGGCTGGCTGACCTGAAGGAGGGAGCCACTCACAGTTCCACAGCTTTAGAAGGCCAAAAGGTCTCCACCCCAGGGGAACTCAGCTCTCCTGCAGTTTATTTCCTTCTCCACAGCCTCCCTTCAGCAGTTTGCCAGTGTTACAGCTCTGCTGCTGGCTGACAAGTGCTGGTCAGAGTAGTGCTTTCCACTGAAACACAGCAGCCAAAGGCCAGCAGAACTCACCTGGACTGGGGGGCAATTGTGCTTTGAAAAACAAGATGAGAATGCTCAGAGTGAAATGCAAACAAAGGCAGGAACAGTTAGTTGGGAGCACTGGTGTGGAAGGAAACTGTGGGGCTTGGATTCTCAGCTGTTTGAAGCAACAAGGCTGAAGCTGGTTTTCAGACAGGCAGGTCTCATGCTTCCCATTTCCTTCTCCAACAGCTGTTCTAACTTTTGCTATAATTTATTCTGGTGGAAAGGGTTTTAATTAGCTACTGTTGAGGTTTGGTTATGTGAAGATGATGTTTGCCGTTTCCCCTTCGCTTGACTGAAAAAGCCATTCCTCCCTTCAGTCTCCCATTCTTGCACTTAAATTCCTTTTTCAGCAGTTGGAGTGTCCAGTGTTGCAGTTGTCTGACACAGGTTCCACCCCTGCCTCATCTGAGGACATTAAAACATCTCTGCTCAAAATTCCTCATGTGACACAACCTTGGATCACACTTGTTTCTTTCACTGCTGCATCAATTATTTCATCCTCTTCTCGGCTTACAGGAAAATCTCTTGATATTGGCACCTCCCTGCACACAACCATGTGATTCTCATGGGTACTAGTTGTCCCCTCTCCAAATCCCCACAACTCAAGCAGCTCAATTCTTCCTGTACCACACAATCTTCTTTTCTGAGACCTTTTTATTTCAAGGTCAATAATAATGAGGTTGGTTCCACAACTGATCCAAGAGGAGTTCTTAAAATGAAGCAGTGAGAAAGAAATGAAAACCATGCTAATTACAAGTGAAACTGTAGAGGGGAAAGCAAATCACCAGCTGCTTTTTTTTCTTCTTTTTTTGTTTATTGTTACTGTTGTCATAATCTCTTGTAAGCTCTAGCTAGCTTTGTGGTGACATACGAAGTCAAGGACTACATAAAGCAGGACTGGTATAAACTCTGTGTTTCAAGCTGATGATTTTGGGTCATCTGCCATGCTTTAAATTCAATCTTTTTGTCACTTCTTAAGTCATCATGCAAATCCTGTTCTAAAGCCTTACATGCCAGCACAGCAAGGCTACTCTGAACTGTAACTGGTGAAATGGCTTTTTAAAATCCCTTTTTATGTACAGGGATCCACACTCCTTTTGCAATGTGCAGCTTTACTGCAAACTCAACTGCATGTAAAACCTTCCACACAGGATATGCTGTTGCCTCAGCAGCAGTTTCAGATTTCTAGGTTGGAGGGTCTTTTCCTCTCCTCCAAGGGAAAGTGACTTCTTTTAGTTTTGTTTTCAGTTCTGTTGTGCATCCTGCTTGGGCAGGATGCCTTCATCAGATTCCCTCTCCTCTGTGCTGGTCAGCGGTCTGGTCAGAAGCTTTTGAGCTCCTTGACAGCATTTGTTTTCAGGGGTTTGGAGCAGCAAATTCTGCAATTCAGATAAAGGTTGTGGAGACAAAGGCCATGATACTTAATTTTAAAACTGTTGTGTAGTTCCTTCACTGAGAGCCCCATAGCACTTGGGGCAGTCATTCCAGGTGCACGTCCCTCAGGCCATTCCTGATTTTACAGAAATACATTTTCTTTCCCTTCAGCTCATTTCCTCTGTGAGGTGGAAGGTTCTCAATCTGTTACCTGTCTTCCTTTCCTGTGGAAGTCATGCCCATCACTGACATCTTCTCTGGGCTACTTCTGTTTGTGCCACATCCTTTTGACAGAAGAGAAACTGAGCTGGGGGTGTTCCATCTGTAGCGCTCCCAAATGCTGAATCAACAGGATCACAGAGTGTTCTGAGTTGGAAGGGACCTGCAAGGATCACTGAGTCCAGCTCTTAAGTGGCCTGTATGGGGATAATGGGGGTTGAACCCATAACCATTGGCACTATTAGCACCATGCTCTAACCAGCTGAGCTGCTTTGTTCATTTCTGATAATTAATTCATATCCAGATACTCTCTTAAGAGGGCTTTTTCCCCCTGGTTCCACTTGTGCATGTCAAACTTCTTCAGGTATGTGTCACCTGAGTGCAGAGGGAAGGGGCATCTCCTTCTCTCCAGTCAGAGCCAGCCTGGGGCACCAGGTCCCTCTTCAGTGAATGTTACCAGAATTTCCCATGGGCAGCAGGCACCAACAGTGCTCTGGCTGCCCATCTTCAACAGCCACACCCAACTTTGCGTAATGGATTTAAAAACGTGTCCCTGTCCATCACCTTCCACATCCACCCACAGGCAGCACGTGCTGTGTTTTCTCACTCAGAGGAAGAAGCAGCAGGGAGGCAGAAGGCCAAAGTGCTTTCCTTTCTTTTTTTTTTTTCAAAATCACTTAAGGCTTTTTTATTTTGAATGGCATAGGGTAAACATCTGGAGATGTTTCTGCACTCTCCTCACTGGAACTTTGGAGACATTCTTCAACATCTTCTCCCCCAAAAGAAGAAAAACACATTCGGTTTGTACAAAATGTCTTCTTCTTCCTAGGATCTGAACTCTCAACATTCTCACACACTGAGAAAGTCGTTTGTTGTTCACAGACAGCCTTGCTGCTCAGAGGTCACCGACACCTCTGTGTGTCCTGCTAACTGAACAAAGCAGGTGCTTCGTTAAAAGCTTGGAATTAACCCTGTAAGGTTGTGGTAATGCTTCTGAATACTGGCCAGGTTCCTTACTGAGCTCTCACTGACTTCAATAATCTTTAACATTAGGGAAATGGAAGCAGCAGAGGGAAGCAGAAATGCAGTCAAGCAGGGCTTTGCAAATAAGGTAAACAACTTTGATAATCCTATCAGGATACTGTCAATAATGATTTTGCCAGAAGCAGGAGAAAAAATGCTATTGAATTGTGGTTTTGAATGCAGTTGTCCAAACCATCTGGTTTAAGGTTTAATTTTGTTGTTGGCTAAAATCCATTAGGCTTGTAATTTGCTTTAGGAGTGTAATTCAGAGATGGTATCTTTAAAGATTTAAAGTACATCATTGTTGGGGGAGTTCTCACACAAACAGGCTCTGAAAACAGAACCTTTAAACTCATATACCAGTTAACACAGGGGATTAGTAGCTAAACTAGTAATTTTTACATATGCTGAGATGTTTGAAATTTAATCTCAAAACTAGCTGTGTTATAGATGGATGGCAGAGGCCATGGCTCCTGCTCTGAGCTTTCTCTGACACACCAGCCAGGCTCTCAGCAGACACAGAGTTCAGCTCTTTGTGAGGACACCAGCTGTGCAGGGTGGTGGGTTACAGGTACTGCTGCAGAAAGGCAAAGGCTTTACTGCAGGTTAAACCAAGCAGTGGTAGCTCTGCAGAGTTAATGAATATGTAATCTATTTTATATCAGCAATACTTATGTATAATAATAAAATCTTTTTATTCCTTCATAATTCAAGTTTTTTATCCCTTTTTCATGATAGGAACAGAAGAAAAAATCCAGAAACTTCTGGAAAACAGAAAAAGACTGGATCACAAGATTGAGCTGCTGCAGGACGTAAAAGAAGTCATCCTTTCTACTCCAGAGAACATGGCCAGTACATCCAGTACAGCATCTGAATAACCCCTCTCTGTGATGGTGCAATTGTTAGGAATTTTAATGATAAAAACCATAGACCAGTCCGGTCAGTGCCCAATTCCCCAGCCCCAAGATGCGGGCTGAATGGGTGCAAGAATGTGGTGTTATACTCATTTTTATACCTCACTGTTGCAATAATTAAAAGTCCTTCAAGTTTTCAAATTTTCCTGTTCAAATTTTTCCCTGCTTCTACTATAAATTTCCACTTATATTGCACAATGGAACATAAATGAGTGTTACTAACTAAATTTAGCTTTTGCAAAAACTTAACAGAACCCTCCAGGGAAGACTTGTTTCTCAGAGCCAGGGGAGTGTTCAGCTGCCACAGAACATTTGCTAAATTCACTTAACCTGTGTGAGCCCTCTCCTGCCTGGGCAGTAGTGCCTCGCTGTCCGTGTCTATTCAGTGATGTTTGAAGGATCATAGTGCTGCTTTGGCTTTCCCAAAGAACATACATGAGCAGGACTTGCACTCAAAGAAGCCTTCTGGATTACAAACAGGAGTTTAATTTAAAAAGCCAAACTATTCTTCACTGACTGGTCAAGGTGCACTGTTTCTGCTATACTGGCAGTGGTAAAGCAGTGTTTGCAGGCAGACCAGAAAGGGTTGGGCATTGCACTCAGAACAAGTACAATGTCAGAGGGGGCAAAACAGTGACTGAATCTTCCCTTCTCCATTAAGAAAGGGTTCAACTTTCATGTGTTTTGTCTTTAAAATATTGTTTGAATACAGAAAAGCCACAATAGGCTAAGTTAATAAAACATTTTTTAAAGGAGCTGTGTGTGGAGTTGTGCTCCCCATCCCTAAGGTGCTGCACAGGCCACAGCCAAGAAGAGGGAATGCTGTCAGGCCATGCTCTTGCTGAGGGACAAGCAGAGCACTGGCAAACACCACTTGGTGTGAAACATGTGACATCCTGTCACAACAGCTGTGCTCTCTCCATGACCACTTGGAATTTTTCACTTGAGCTTGCTCCCTAGGAAGGTGGGGATTGATAAGCACAGAATAGCAGCATTCAAAATGAGCTCTTGAACAATAAGGTGTGCTTGATTCAACCAATTAACAGTAATTTTAATTGCTTACAGAGTTCAAGTCTGCTGCCCTTCTAGGCCTAGAAACATCACCAGAACTTGAGGGCCACTCAGCCTGAAAAAAAACCCACCTAAACCAAAAATGCATTAACAAACTCTGTTATTAAACACAGTAAGGATTATAAGGATGGTCCATACATACCTTCTGAAGGGTTACAGCCACTTAAGGATGACTTAGTGTAAAAAGTCAGATCCACAGAGTGAACCACTGAGGTCTAAAATTAGTGTCTACAAAGAAATCTGTGACCTTCTGAAATCAAGAGCACAGGTATTTTGTCAGGCACAGTGAAATGAGCAAGATTCATTGTATAGGGTAAGTTGGGTTTTGGCTTTATTTGTTGTTTATTTGGGTTTTCCTTTGTTGTTTTGATGAAGTTTTTTAAATGAAGCAATTTAAGATGCTGTATGTAACACAAAAAGCTTGCAATGTTCTTCAAAATCTAAAATTTGCTAGTGAAGAGGTACAAAAAAGTCATTTTATTACATGTAGTTTAAATTTAGACAATAATTAAAAGCAAAATCCCACCCAGATTTCCCTTCCCCCTCTGAGGGAACCAACATAATCTGAAGTCACTGAAGAGTGGAATTATTTCCATTAAGCATTATAAATACTGCTTGAACAGATTCCACAAAGTACACATTACAACTTATATACCCAAATATAGAGATTTACTTCAAATTAGTTTTCCTAGTAACTCCTTTCTTCGAAGTCACTTGCAGAGTCTTTGAAGATACATCATTTTTGCACACTTGAAGCACTGGATACACTTGGTTAATTACACACAGCAAGTGGCCAATTCATTCACAATCATGCAAATGCAGCAAGAGATAACCGTGCCATTTGCTCCTCTATAATCCCAGGGAGTTAATGATTGAAGTGACATCATTCAGTGGCTCAGGCCAGACTATTTTCCAACCCCAGACAGTAAATTGGAGATAGGAGCAGGCGGTGCTAGAACGGAGATTTCCTAGGCGGGAAAGGCAAGTGCGGAACAGCGGCCGGAATCCTTTGCACACTGCAGCATTCCCTCTCTGCCTGAATCCTGAGCTGCATCCACCATCCAGGTTTGTTAAATGCAAGTGAGTATTTTGCTTGACATTTTTACAACAGTTCGCTCTTGAGCACTGAAAACATTTGTTTTCACTGTGGCCTTTCAGGTTCTGTGGTGGAAGAGACCACGAAACACTTGCCTGGACCCACAGTTACATTGTAGCTGGAAAACAGCTACACAAACACCGTGACTTACGGCCTCATTCTTTCAGTTCTTAAAGGCTCCACATTTACTGGCTTTTGCAATAAATTCCTTTAGCAGGGGACCATCCATTTGCCAAAATGCTGTAGTTTGTGTCACTTCTGTCAAATGATTGACACAAAACTTAAAGCAGAATTCCTCTAAGTCCTAAAGAGGTAGGAAAAAACAAAAAGAAAAAATGTTATCTTTGCTTTCAATCACAGAAAATATCACTGAGGCACAAATGCCTATTTATGTTTTATTTTTGCAGCAAATTGGATAAACACACCCAGTGGCTCTGTGTTTCTCCCCCAACAGTCACTAGGTAAATGCAACAGAAAATAATGATTCTACCCACATATGTCACTATGTAAATGCAGCTACAAGAGGAAGTAACCAAAATTTGTTTCTCACTAAATTGCAGCAGTCACAAAAACCAGCTGTTCTGAGCAATATATATTTTAAATTCTCACACTTTGTTTCATCTGCATTCTCTGACAACTTTGAAACTCCAATGTAAATAGGAGATCTTGGGGTAATGATGTATAACCAAGACTGTGGATAAAGAAAATTCAGCTCTTTTCTTTCACAATATGAACAAATCTATTATTTTTAAGGTTGCTTGACTTCCTTCCTGCTTCTTGAAGGGCTTAGCTAGATCCTTCAAGTTCCAGGCTCAGTGTATCCTGACTGGACAGTTTGTACAGCAAAGATTAGGCAGGAGGTCCTTCTGTGCATTAGAAACAACCTCTGCTACAAGTACTTCACAGGGCTCCTGAATGTGATTCAAATGCAGTAGTGGAGCACAGTGCAGCACAGCAATCCTTGCAGAAAGTGGGCTCTGGATATTTGAGTTTATTTGGAAGTGACTCCCATGTAATAATTAGAAAAGCCTCACAACCATCATTGCACCCTGGTGATGTCAGACAGAGAGAATGCCTTAAAGAGCACCAAAAAAAGGCACAATCCTTGTCAGTGCAAGGTTCCCCACAGAACACTTCCCACTCAGATTATTTCCAGCTACTCCTTTGAGGAGGAAATCTACTCTGTGGTGCAGATCTAAGCTGCTCTAAGGAGGATGCTGCAGCCCTGACAAAAAAGGACAACTGCCCACACTGTTCTAGTTTCTTTATCAGATGTTTGTAGGACTCTCTATATGTGAAAGCACACTCTTCCTTGGCTGCTCAGCAAGCTAGGCACTGCAGGAAGGCAAAACAAACTCTGTAAGCCCCATGATGTAGGAAAGACTGAATAATATTCATGTTTTCTCTTAAGGTCAATACTGAAACTAGAGCAACTGTGTGTGCCAGTGCCAGTTCTTGACATAACAGTAATATAAAAATATATCCTGGCCTAAAACCAGGCATTCTGAAGCTGCAGATCTTGACTTGTGTGGCATCTGTGCAACAAAAAAAGACAAGCTTATTAGAACTGAGCACTGACAGTTGTGGTATTTTTTAACAACAAAATTAACTAGCATTTTAAAGAAAATTACATCATACACATTACAATATTTTGCACTGCTTTATTAAAAACTTCATATTCCAAGTCAATGCAACAGAAGCATACAATAAACAGAATTATTGTAGTATTAGTAACTCTGGAAAAATCTAAAGTTCTGTATAAAAAGAAAGGCTGAGTTTCATTTGCAGATGGATGAGCTCCCAGCAAACTACTTAATATAGACTTAGGTGAATAAAGGCACAAGGTACAGCTAAGGATTATTTTAAAAGCTACAACAAGAAGCTAGCCCTGACCTAATTTTAGCCCCTTCAGTCAGTCACCAAAAGAAACTGCAGGAGTTTCATGTCATGGAGGTATTTTAAATTAGTGAAGCAGCTTCTTTGAAGTGTTGTCTTCCAGCACACACCCCCCTGAAAGAACTACATCAGCCAAGCAATTCCAAGCCCCCTGCCAGCACTGCAGCATGTAAACACAACTTCTGTTAAAGCCCAAGCTCTCGGCATCACCCATTCTCTCCTGGAAGCAGCACTGAAGCCTATGGTTCTAACTTTACTTAGCCAGGGAGCTGCAGCTGTGGCAGAGTTACTGGATTCCTTACAGCCCTTACAAGCAGAATCAATCACACACCTAAGACCCATCCTGCAAACCATCTTTGGAGGATAAAATACGGGAATCTTCCAATTTTTTATGAACTTCTATCAAAGACATCACTATTCACAGTAGATCAGTAGGACAGACAGTAACACAGCCTTTGGTTAAGGTCTGCCAAGCAAGCATCACACCTCAAGGCTCTGAAATAAGTTAGGGCAAGCTGCATGCCAGCTGTTGGAAATCAAGTACAAGAAAAAGCAATAAGTTGATTTACTGAGTACCAAAAAACTGCTTTGTAAGCATAAGCAGCAAGTCCAAAACCAACCAATCGTAAAGTTGCCAACGCAATGCACAGACACTGCTGAACACAAGCAGCCAAAGCAAGCCCAGGAATATTTCCTGATTAGTTCCTAAAGCAGCATGTTAGGGATCAAGGAGTGAAGTCAGACATTCCACAGTGAGGAGGTTTCACTGCCCTCTTCACACACTGTTGCTCTGCCTTCAATGTTTATAAGGCCCCTGAAGCAGCTCCTATCCTGACACTCATCAGCATACTCTGAAAACTGGAAGTGTATTTGTCCCTAACAAAACAAAAAAGCTAAAAAAACCCACCCCACCAACAAAAAAAACCTCAAATGCACTCAATTCCCAACCTACCACCATGTCATCACACACAACACACAGCCTTACAAATAAGTAACTTAAGGCTTAGCCTGCTTTTCATTATGTTACTTTTTGTTTAAACCCTCCCCTTGTTTCAGAGTTAGTGTTTCCATCCTCAGAAATATCTGCGTACTAGTTCGCCTTCCCAGTACTGGTTTATAGGGAAAAATGAAAATAAAACATGAGATAAAAAAACTGTATTTGCCATGAGAGGTAAGTCCAACATTCTCAAATTCTGAAAATGGCAAATGGAATTAAATGAAAGTAAGAGAGCTTATATGAAAATGTAACCAGCTGCTTTTCTCCAGAGTTTAAGTCAGGAAGCAGCCACCCATTTAAGAGATTGAACTTTAGAAGTTTACCTCTGCATCATATCTGACAGCAGCAGAGAGCAATGAAAATGCATTTTCCACAGTAATTCCTCTCTTGATAATGTGCTGACACAGTTTTTTCAGTCTGTTTTCACAGTATGAAGTAGCCAAGTCCAAGAGCCCTGCAATTAAAACATCATGGTATCCATCAGTTGTAAAATTATCTCTGCTCTTGCAACATCTGTTTCTGCTCCTGCAAAGCTCTGTATCTCTATAATGTGCTTTTTCCAAGTAGGTTACTATTCAGAAAATGCAGATTAAAAGCAAAGAAGGGCTTTTTATTACCTCATTCTGCACTCCTGTTAATTTCTGTAAATATGAAGGCTGTCCTACTAACTTGCATATCTAGCAGCAGGCACCACA